GAAGGGCTAAAAAGCGTAATAAATAGTGTAAAAGTACTACAAGATAAATTTAATTTCTTGTGGGCCCCTCATTAAAACAATATGATAATGGCCTTCGTTAAGAGCAGTCAATATAAGGTTTTTCCAAGAATAAAACGATCTTTTCTCCAAAGAATAGAACACCAAGATACGCATAGTGGTTGCATAAGATCTAGGATGGGGGTTAGAGTGTGAGTGTGTGCTAGGTGAATATAGTGCCTATATCAGCACCCACACCCTCAAAACATTTATTGTTTGTCATAGTTTTCTAGGTTTAGAAACTTACAATAAAAACAAAATAAGCATAGATATTGATAATAAAATATGTATTACTGACTATAAAGAACAATGCACAGGGGTATCATTTTCGTAATAACCATGTTTCTGACTGTTTCGATCTTGAGGGTGAGTGTGAGTGTAGGCGTGTAGGTGTCTTAAGTATACTCCCTATTGCTAATAAACACCCACACACATACTTGAAATAAAGTATTATCAATAGTTTTTGTTTTTAAAAAATGATTTATTTTATATCGACATGTTTAATTTTGATGGTTAGAATGACCATCTTCAATCCAACTGGGCAATGCAAATGGAATAGATTCAGTCCAACATGCATCTTCAGTAAAACTTTGTGATATTGGTCCAGATGATAAGACAATAAATTCGTTTGAATGTTGAATAATTCTATGATATCGAATATAATATTTATCTAATATAAATGGATTAATAAATAATTGATTATGTTGAAAACAAGTTGAAGAACTTTTTTGATGAAGTATTTTTAGTGACTTTTCTCTTTCATATGAAGGAACAATATACCAATAACGATAACCACCATTATGATGATGATATATAAATGAAAATAAACGTTGCTGAGTATCTGATAATAGAAATATACTAGCTGGTTGGGTGTGGGTTTGGTTTTTTTAAGAAGACTGTTTTAAGACTATTTTCTTTATGAACAAGATATACAAACTGGAGTGCTTAATTGAATATATTTGTCAGTGATAGATGACACAAAATGAAAAACAATCGTAAAATGTGATCAAATTCGCAAACAAATCCCTTGGTGGGTAATACTCAGTACTTCTCATCAGTTTTTACTAATAATGAGTCTGAGGAGAGTGGATGTGACTGCGACTATGCGTATAGATACGGATGTGATTCTTCATGCCCACACTAACATCCTTACTCTCTCAAACTACTCTTCTCGTCAGAAGATAGAATCAATTTGGTTTCCATTGATCTCAGAAAAAAATAGTACAAAAAGCTGAAAGTGTAAGCATTACTTGTGACCATCTTGAGAGTGTGGATGTGGGTGTTCTTCCTATTCACTACCCACACCCATATCCTATATGACACCAAAATGAATTTGTTACAGAATTCTTAACAGTATATTCATTTTTTATTTTCTATTCACAAAAAAATCTTCTAGGCGCATTCAACCTCATTTACAAGCAAAATATAAATTCTAAGACTTTCCATTGATTGTTAGTATTTTCCTCGTTATTTACAGAACTTTTCTGATTCAGAAAAATATCACAAAAGATGTTTTGATGAAAATGATACAGTTAAATTCACAGGTGATAAATATAACATAATGAAACTACTTGTTCTATGCATTTGTCTGACTATGTTGTAAACGTTGAGATATTAGAATCTTACTATTTATACATTAACAATTTAACAAAAAGGCACAAATGTATATATTTTATAGAAGAAAAATAATGTTTTATTCACAACGATTAAGTATTATAAATGTAGAATGCCAAAATAAACTTTTTTTGTCTTTGTAATATCAGTTTTCTTCACGTAAGTAAATTCATAACTAAATACCGACTAGATATTATTTACTTAAGTGAGTTTATACTTGTTTCTGAGCACATTCTACAGATAACAAAATGCTAAATGATATTCAATCCTGTAGAATTATGATATTTTACAATGAACTAAGTGTGATAAAAAACTATTTGCCTTTCATCCATATCCACACTGCGTACTCTCAAGATTTGTATGACATTGTTTACTTATTAAGCAAGTAAAAAAAAGAAAAGTTAAAATATAATAAGCGACGATGAAAACTGAATGAGTCAAACTAATAAAATGATGCGTAATAATGAAAGTGAATGAAAACATTTTTTTTGTTTTTTGTTTATTGTGCGACATCACTGGACATACTCGAAGCAAATAATGTATTTTTAATAAATTAAATAGCATAAGCGTATTTGTGTGAAGTTTGCTTGTATAAATTTATAGTTTCAGAAATTTTTGTACACGCATGTTACCAAAATCAGTTATGTACATGTTCATATCTGAGTCAAATGCAATACCTCTTGGCCCATTTAAGGTTGTTGCAGTACTACCACCAATACCAGTTCCAGCAATGGTAATACCTGTTTCATTGTTGGCACAAAACATTTGAATTCTATGGTTACTGTGATCAACAACGAACATATTTAGATAATTGTCAAGTTTAATAGTCGACGGATTATTTAAATGAGTAGAGTCAGAGCCTGCTGTACCTGGTACGCCGGCAATGAAAGTACCCGAAGAAGCGCTAGGTGTCCAACGCATTATTGAATGTCCATTATGATTTGTGATAAATAAATCACTACTTACAGATGGCTGATACCAAATACCCCATGGGTAGTTTAATGATGTATTAGTGTTTCCTACTCCATTTCCACCAGCGACAAGAGTTCCGTTGTCACCTGAGGTCGAATTTGTCGAGTAGCGCATAATACGATTATTATCACCATCAGCAATATATATGTATGCTTGTGTCGGATCAAGAGTAATATATCGTGGATAGTTCAATTGATTTAATGAAGATCCACGTGATCCCGTTATGCCGGCAATGGTGGTTCCAACTGTTGATCCGTTAATATATTTTTGTATGCGATGATTATAGTGCTCAGATACATACATAGTTTCAACTGTATCAACATAGACACCTTGCGGATAATTTAGTTGAGTATTACTTAATCCAGATGAGTTTTGTATTCCAGCAATTACCGTTGCACTTGTAGCATTCTGCAATAATCTCCATACAACAGTACTAGGTGTCTCATCCGTAATATATAAAGTATTACTTGAGTCTATGTATATATCAGCGACATGTGTTACTTGTGATGAATCAAGTACAGTAATTCCTGATGTATTCCAAACATTATTCCAAACATTACCGGTTGCACCTATAAATGATACAAAATATGCATTAACAATATCTAATCCGTTGTCTTATCAGAATATGTACATCATAGTGTGAGTGCATCTCAGCTGATCAAAGCAGAAAACCAAACATCAGAATACATAAGATCTAATGCAGATAAGATTTTCTATACAACGTTTCCACGATAATACAACAATATCGCATAGATTCGCTAATCGAAAGATTTGATCTAATTTTATATGATGCACGTAGCCAGAAATCTTGCAAGAGCCACATGATACAAAATGAATAAGATTATATAATACTAAATCTGTCATATCTTATACTAATAAATATAAGGTTTTTGAATACAACAAAATATTGTAAGATCTGGTAAGATAAATCTCATACATTCTTATGAAATCGAGTATGAGAGTATGTACAAAAATGCACATCTATCTTTATCAAAGAAAAAGTTACAGATATAGAGATGTGTTGTGAATCATTGGCATAGTAATAAAGATATAGGCGTCGAGCCACCTATTCGGGAGAACATTTATGACTAGTATGCACGCAAAATCGTGACCGACATGGAGCAAACTCATACTGTGCGACTTTGTGTCTATCATTCGGCCTTCTACATATTTTATAGTAAAGATCAATAGAAGGTATAGGTTCTGATACGATTATACATAATATTGAATAATAATCAATGATTGATCTTACTATCTAATTGTATGATCTATGTAAGATTAAATACTAATTTATGTCTCGTTATATTCTTATATTGTTACTATTAACGTTGCGCAATCAAAATCTAGGTTTTACTTATGCAGACTACATAATGATAGATATACAATTGAAATTAAAAATAAAAAAAAACCAAAGATTAAGCATAGAAAAAATACATTGCATCAAAAATATCGAGTAATAGATATGGAAAACACTCTTTCTTCTATGTGGACAATAATAAAATGAATGATGTTCTTTATAAGATATCTACTCTGTTCACCAGAGTGTATAAAGTTATAGCGTCAGCCAATCTAGATCGTATATAGGTTCTTATGGATATCACCCATTTTGAGCAACTAATATATTAACATGGAATTATTTTTTTTGGGCTGATATATTTCAGATATTCTTATGATTGCAAACCCTTCTTAGAACCAAATTTTTCATTCGAAGCTCGGGTATTCATTCTATCTACGAATTCTATCGTAATGAAAAGAAAATTAGTATAATAATGCTGACGGTACATTAATAGTGAACGAAAAGAAACACTTTGCAGGTCAGTTCTAGCTCACAATGTCCTAACTAAAGAGAGGTAAGTCTTCTGACCACTTCCTTACATAAAATATCAAATTTCGATAAACTCAACGAATGTTATTCTCTTATTCTGTTTTAACATGAGAATCGTACGATTGCTATCCGAAAATAATACAAAGCTACTTTCGTCAATTATTTTCGTAAGCAACTAAAACTAATGATTTTAATGAAGAGTTCACCAGAAGTGAACAACACATTTTTTTGCTAACATGGATTTCCTGCTGTTGTTGTTGTTGACGTTGACGTTGTTGTTGATGTTGTTGTTGACGTTGTTGTTGACGTTGACGTTGTTGTTGACGTTGATGTTGTTGTTGACGGTGTTGTTGGTGTTGATGTTGTTGTTGTTGTTGTTGATGATGTTGTCGACGATGCTGAAGTTGTTGTGGATGATGTAGTGGATATTGTTGAGGTTGATGATGATAATGATGCTGTCGACATTTTTGTTTTTATTATTGTTGTTGTTTTTGTTATAGTTTCTTTTGTTGTCGTTGAGGATGTAATTTCACTCTTCTTTTCGTTTGGCATAGTTACATTATGAAAATATGCCTGTTTTATTTGATCTTCTGTTATTTTAGCTCCAGACAAATCACTATTTAAAAACTGCGCACCTGTCAGATCTGAATTTCCAAAATCTACTCCCGACAGATATACACCATTGAAACTAGCACAAAGTAAAGATGAACCATCAAACTTCACATTCTCTAATCGTCCTCCATCAAATGATGCACCATTCAAACTAGCAAATGAAAATATTGCATTTGACATTGATACTTTATCAAAAGAAACACATTGTAAATTCAACTTGTTTAATATACCAGTTTCACTTGCTAGATGTACCTTATCAAAATTTAATTCATTTAAACGAATTATATCATCTAATTTTGTTGTTCTACATCCATTAGTACAATTATTTCTGCCAATTAGTTGTTTTTCTTTAAGAAATTGTATAACATCTGCTTTACGTATTGTGTCCCATTGACGATGAGCAGCACGATAATATGCATTTGCAAATGCCCATGGATTTTTTGTGTCATTGAGATAACCATCTTTATCTAATTTATAGATATTATTTAAAAACTCATCATAAAGTGTTTGTTGTCTTAATTGTGTTGATTGTTCCAAATCAAACTTTTGTTTTTTCTCAGCTTGTTGTTTTTGTTGTTGAGAGCCAATTGAAGTATAAATAGCAAGAGCTATGGGTATAGCAACTGAAGATATAATAATTAATATATCTTTCAATGTGAAATGCCAAAAGGATCGCTTGCTCAAATCTAGCATTGTCTCAGTCTGATATCAGAATGAACAGTAAAATATTGTGGTTTGTTCGAATATTAAGAAAACACAAATGCTGTTAATAATTAGTCTTTCTCTCTTTTGCCGTTTTTCTTTTATTTAACAACATATTAGGTAACAGTTTTAATGATATTTTCAAAATCAAATATTACAAAAGAAAATAAGAGAAACAAATAGATAAACATTCGTTACAGACACAACAATAATTAGAAAAACAGTTTCGTGTTACTTTCAGTATATTGAACATTGAATTTGATCTAGAATAACAAAAATGCAGAAATACCGATCGGTAGAGACGAGGAAAGAAGAAAACTTATACTTTTGGTTTAAATATCGGAGAATTCTTCGTTTGTCTACATACAATATAAAGTCGTAGTACTTAATTAATTCTCCGAAATAATGAAGAATATATTTTGACAATAACTGGGAAATGTTTTCATCATATCCATTTCAAAGTTCTACAAAAAAATGGATAATCTAGACTTGACGAACCATTGCTTTAGTTAAATGATATCTTTTATACGAACAGTTAATAAGTCTTTTTCTTTCCAACTTTTTACATAAAAACCGTTTGATATGCACTAGTCAAGACTGAAACTGGTGTATGTCTAGTAAAGCTTACATGTTATGTACATATGTTTCCGATCGATATTACTAGTTAAATCGGAATATTCAAACTTAGTGTCGATGAAGGAGATAGTTATTATCAATTTTCTTGAAAGAAAAAAACAACTGTTTGATTGAGAGCTAGGATCAGTACTTGTTATTTACTTTCTATAACAGTTTTTAAAATTTTTAATGAAATGGATAGAACTGATTTTTGAGATACATGTATGTAACTATTCGGCAAGTGTGATATACATCTCTAAGAAAAAGCCTCAGTGATGGTAGCGATCTGCCTTTCAAGAGAAAATCTATATATAAGGAGACAAAAGTAAACGGTTGAGTAGTTGAATTCAAGTTTGAGGGTAGATACTATTGTATTCTCATTATTATTACCAAAAAATATCTAATATATTTATTAGCGTAAATATTGACACATCATCAAAATATTGTTTCTAAAGAAGAATTCTATAACAAATTAGCTACTTATGAATTAGTAAGAAATCATATGACTCGCTAGGTGATGATAAATTGGAAAACGATAAATGGCTGTAAACTCGCTCGAAATAGATACTAGTCCTTTACTTACATAAAGCCACATAATAAGGCATTTTTTGACAATTTGTCATTATCTTTTCTTACTCCATGCTCATTCTCAGAGGAAACGGTTCGTTTTTCGAAATTTGAAGCTTTGAATCACATTTTGCAATTGAGTGAAACTCTAATGCTACCTAGTTAATACTTCTACACGTACACATATTCTCGTTCGCGCGAAGGAAAAAGAAGAACGGTTGCGCTCGTTTATGACTGGCCAAAAAAGAAAACAAACGAGAGTAATGCTTTTTGACAGATGATCTATTTCTTTCTTTTTCTTTTTTTTTCTTTTTCATCATTATCGACCGTTCATATTCTCAATAGAATCATATCTCATTCTTACTCTTACAAGGTTATATTTTTCAATAATTCATTTAACATTTATCTTTCAGAAATTAAATGTCATGAATGAAACAACAGAAGACGATAATAAAATCGAACTTCTACCACCTCCACCACCACCAATAATTAATGTTATCGAAGATTCAATAGCATCACGTACTAAAGAAATTACTAAACGACCAAAACGTGAACGTAGTCCACGTAAGAAATTAAAACTATTTTATTTCTTATATCTATTAGAATATATATTTAAGCTATTCAAATTCTACCACCAGCACCTAAAATAAAAAAAGTTAAAGAGGTCGCACCCAAATTACCGGATAAAACAAAATGGACATTAGAAGAGCAAAAACAATTTTTTGGTGCACTTCGAATTGTATAACAAGACTTTTTCATTTTTATATATGAATTCTTTTTATTTCTATCGTATAGTATGGAAAAAATTTCGAAGCACTTGGTCAATTTTTTAATACACGCCGACGTCTTGTTAATCCTGAAGCACAAAAACGTACATTTGGTCAGATACGTTGTTTTTACTATCGTTCATTTCGTACAGTTTCAAAATTATGTACATTTACTGAAGGTTAACTATGAATTCTATTTATTATTCATACAATAAATTGTGTTTTTTATCTATTCATTTTATTAGAAGAAAAATCAAATGTTGATTCATTTGAATTACGTTCTGTTCTTGCTTATTTATGTTTAAAACCCAAAGTAAAATGTAAGTATTGTCTAATAAAAATCTATCAAATATTTAATTTGCCTATAATAGATTTTGATAAAAAACCAACAATAACTGTTTTACATCAACTTATACGTAATGGTAATGCATTTATACGTGTTAAAGGACAACGTGAACATGTATCAATTATTGGTAAAGCATTAAAACCACCAAAAACATCGACTACACTTGGTAGATAATTAAATTCTTTATAAAAAAAACTAAAGTTTCTATAATTAGGTTCAACAAAACAAACCGATCGTACATTATCAAAACATGTGAAAATTTTATTAAGTCCAGCATCATCAAATGCATATATGCGTGTAGCATTATCATGTCGATATCCTCATGTTGAAGTTTTATTATCGCGTTCAACAACTATATATGAATTAATTGATAAATTAACACAATATTGGCAATTAAATAATCATGCACAATGTGTAAATCAGTTATTTAAAGATGATTCATCTTCTGAACAATTTATTTTATATCCTCATGGATCTTATTTAACATCAATTGATTCTCCACTTCTACCAAATGATATTATTGATCTTTCGGCACGAAAACAAGCACGTTCACGATCAGATTCTGAACATTCACCTGAACCATATATAGATTCTTCTCTAAATATAATTCGTAAAAAAGCGAATCTACCAGAAAATGATGAATCAACAGGAGGAATTCATAATTCATCAATATCACCACCAACAACAGTAACAAATTCGAATAAATCAAATCTGGCACGAACAGCTATTTTATCAGCAGCAAAACGAGCTGCTTGTAATAATATGAATAATTGTGATGGAACAGCTTTTACACTTATTGATGGTACAGAAGATGAAGCAGATAGTAGTGCTGGTCTATTTAAACAACGATTTGATACAATGGATCTCACAGATGAGGTGAATATTTTGTTTTATAAAAACAGTTACTTTCATTTTGGACTCATATTTTTCTTTAGTTTGCTTCCGAAGATGAAATTGAACCTGATGCTAATGTACTAGCTCCCGTATCGCAAACAGTTACAATGCCTACAGTAAATAATCCAACGATTACATTAGCTGATCTTACACAAGGTATGACACGAATAAATTCATTATTTTCTACATTAACTATTGGTGAATTACAAAAATTATTACAACGCCCGAAAGAACTTCGTCTTATATATGATTTTAATAATTTATCTCGTACAAATACGAATGAGTTATCAAGTACATATCTTCATTATGTGATTCAAATAGCAAATCAATGTTTAACATCTATTGCTGAACGACAATTACAAACGGAAATGAAAACAGCTAAAAAGACGAATACAAAAAAACAACAAATATTACGATCGAAATGTTATTGTACATGTTGTTCTCATCATCATCATCATCAACTTAATACAAAAGATCAAAAACGATCATCAACAAAAGTTAACAACTCATCTAATACAGATATTTGTGCTTTATTACAAAAGGCGCAATCAATACCGGCTGAAGAATTTTTAAATGAAGATATTTTAACAGTACAGACGTCTTCCAATAATATTAATAATAATGCAAATCTAATATCAGATGGAGATTTACATAATAAGTAAGTCAAATTATAAATCTCTATGAATTATATCTTTATATTTTTCTATAGACAAACGCCATTATCTCAACTTGATGAGCAATCTGATATTTTCAATTCTCTTAGTTGGCCAACTGAGACTGTAACAACATCTCTGGAACAATCTCAACTACCTGCACTTTCACAACCACCAAATTCAACATTATCTAATTCAACAACAACGACATCACCTGAACTTTCACCTTTATTAACATTATTACTTCCAATGATGAATGGAGTTGAATCAACTCCTCCACCTCCTCCTCAAACTAAACCATCTGCTATTGTATTTAGTAGTAATAATGGTGTTATCGATGATCCACTAATTCAATCATTAGCTGCAGAACAAGCTGCATCAGCAAATAATTATGATCTCTTATTATATCGACATAAACGAGTATATATTTTTCTATTCTCGTATCTATAGAATTTTTTCTATAAAATCTATTTCATATAGGTTCGACGTCCATTACGTTATGGTGATCAATCAACTCGTCCTTCAAATATTCAATTTTTACTTGGTAAATAGAAAAATTATCTTCTCAATTTAATTCGTTTAATATTTATTTACAGATGCTAATATCAATGCTCAACAAACAGCAGCTGCTGCTAATCAACGTTTCATGTTTAACACGCCTGATCTTTCCATATCATCAAACAATCCATTTCGTAGTGATTGTGAAAATCCAAGTAATATACATTCTTTCAAAAATAAAAACAATGAGCTTAGTTGTATCATAAATAGTTCGAGAATAGAAATAATTAGAAGTCCGTAATCATCAGTTTGTATTGAATATTTGATGATATTCTTTGGATGAAATTTGAAATACACACTTTTATATTTTTATTTAGATGATCTTCTCAATGATAATACAAATATGAGTTCGGTTTCATTAAGCAGTATGTTTTATTATTTTATATTTCATATTAACACTATTCTTTTTTGCTAGCTACTATTGTAAATGCTGCATTACAAAGCAATGCTTCACGATTGCGACTCGATTGGCCAGATAATGTACATTGATTGTTTTAATTTAATTTTCTTTTTAAAGAAATTCTTATTAATTTAGATGTCTGATTTGTCGTTTGGTAGTTTTCCGGATTTACTTGAATCGAATTTATCATCTAGTGACCTAAACAATTTTGAACAGTCGACAACAAACGAACAAAATAAATGTGCAGTAAGTATTCGCATTATTTTTTTTCTATTGAATTTTATTTAATTATTTGTTTTTTTTTAGTCTGAAAATTCTATTTCAGAAACATTATTTGCCATTAATAATACGACAAATTTATTATTACAAAATTAATTTCTTTTCGTTTTTTCTTATCATTTAAATACCTAGTCAAATATAGAAAGATTGATCATATGATTATAACCTTCTCTTGAATACATCGTTTTGTTTTTTCATCTTCTTCTTCTTCTTGCAATGAACTTTCAATGTTCTCTATGTTTCTTTTTGCATTTTTCACACTATATGTATTTTTTTCTCTGCTGCTATTATTATATACGGTCAATGTACTTTTTTTTGAAGTTAGCTTGGTAGTTTTCCTGTTTACAGAAGAAAAATATGAAAGAAAATTATTGGATATTCGTATCTTTTTTTATCGAGATCAAAATAATTGATCGGACTATCATTTTTTGAAATTTTTTGCCTGATAAAATATGAAGTTAGACTAGACAGATTCTATTTCACATTGGATGAAACATCTTTGAATACAACTATAGTTATGTATAATCAAGAATTTTCCTAGGTTGCAAAATATAAAGTAACATTGTTTATAAATGAATTAGATATAAGAACAAAGAAAATATTTTTATTTAATTTATTTCTTGAAATGCTTTACTTGTTAATAATTCTGATTCTTCATCATCTCCTTTATTTTCTTAACTCAATAGACAATATGTTAGTATAAGTATTCGAAATATAGATGATTTAATTGCATAACATCTAATTGTGAACTCTATCGAATTCTTAATCTGCATTATAATCGCTCAAATCAAAGAAATGTAGAACAATGATTTCTTTTTTCATTTTACGTACTAATTAGTTTCAATAAAGCTGCTCAAGCAATATTAAAAGAATGTTTTCTTGCTATATAACAACAAAAAGATCCTGAATTATCATGGAAAAAAAGTATTTATAAAGTTATGAAACGTTTTGAAGATCTATTACCAGACTTTTTTATTATTCAAATGTATTGTTTTTCTTTCTCCTCTTCTTCTGTGCATTAAGTAAATGTAGAATTCTCAAGTTTTGGTTGCGCTAATTATTTCATCTATTCATGTTCTTGGATAAATGTTGAAAGATTTCATAACCACTATTTGTTTGTTAATGTATTTATCCTTTTTTCGTAAACTATACGTGCTTGTTGATGGTATTGAAATGTTCTCTGATATAATTTAATAAGTAATGCCGCACATACACATAAGTCATAGACAGTTATTTGATATTATGGAAAAGAATGAAATTTGATAGAGAGGAAGTACAACAATGATAAAAAAAATATCTAACGGTAAGAAAAAAAGAGAAAGTAGTTCTTTAACGATGAATAAAAATTCAAAAAGTTAAAATAGATATGTAATCATTTTAATATTATTTAGTATTTGTTTTTTATCTAAATAAAATATTTTCTTGATTATTCTAACAAACTGAAGTGAGAATATATATTCTATGTCAATATTTGTTTGTCCTTTGATTAAGTTATTTAGAATATCTAATCTTGAAATAATTAAAATTTTGATATTTTCTACAAAAACATTCAATCAAAAGAAGAGATCTTTACACAACACATGAATATTTTTTTTTTTGAATAAGTTAAAACTGAAATATTTCAGTATTTAGTCATAATATATCAAGCATTAATCAACACAGCAGAATATAAAACTCACCTTGTTTTATATTTTAACAGCTGAACAACAGAGAAAAATATATTTGCTTGTTTTCATTGCACTATTATATTGATGCGTATATAAAAACTCTTCAGTCGCTGTTTACCTTATGCCAATATTAAATATCATGCGTACGTTTTAGAAACGTACTTTTTTTTTATAAGAACGACTCTCGAGAAAATCTTTGAAATTAGTACTGAATCACCTATTATAGTTAGATTCGTACTAACCATATGGCCTTTAAACAAACTGCGTCACTAGGTAATTTTATTTTTATTCATTAACTGCTATATAAGACAAATGGCATATTATGAATTTCTCATTTGTTTATATCTCAACACTGGTCTATACACAACACGTATATTGGTACAGAAATAAAGTAGAAGATACAAAGATTCTCTTAAAACAATGAAACAACGTATTTGTATCGTTTGTCTTATTCTCACTGTTATATTAACAATCGTGATACCAATTGCTGTTTACTTTAAATATCATTCTAAAATAGATAAAGTTACAACAGTTAGTATATTAGATACAACAACAATTGATGCCATTACTACTTCAAATAGTCAGTTTGAATTTTATTTTATATTTCTATAGAGATTTATTTATTAATCTAGGTGGTGATGATAATAATCATCAATTAACACGTGATTTTACTTCGGAACCTGATTCAACAAGTAAATATTGATAAATAAATTTGTAAGATCGGATAATTTACTTTTTTAGATCAATTAAACAACCCAACAACAAGTACATCATACTCAGTAGAAGATTCGACGTCTGATATATCGACATGTAAGTTGGTTTTTCCATGAGATAATTATTAATTATTTATTTCAGATACATTGGTAACGGTCTCAACAAAGACTGTTCAAAGTATGTTTATTCATTATTTTATTTCAATATTATTGTTTTTTTTAGATACAGTACAATCTACTTTTCAAACAACACATATGGATACTAAAGGACAAAACATAATGACAACTGGTAATGGTAAGTCAATTGCTATAGAAGGAAAATATTATATACAAAACTTATTTAATTTAGCTCAAACATCACTATTCATGACAAGTATATCTTTAGTAATAAATAGAATGAATAATTTAGATAATATTTTTTATAAGGCACAATGAAATCTAATGTTTATACAGCGTTGGCGAGCAGTACAAAGCAAGAATTGGGAACAACTGATATAACTCAATTAACAAAGACAAATAAACAAGGTAATTTTTCAGAATATAACTCAGAACTTTATTATCATTAGATTTTTGTTTTTCTAGATGGAATAACAAGTAAAACTGTTTTGAAATAATAAAAAAAGAAATGAAAAAATATTATTTTTGTTAGGTACAGAACAGAACACTGCTGGAAGAATAGGTATCGTGGAAATTATTATAGGGTTGATGAATATTACAATGAGTGAATTGTTTATAAAAAATAGTTGTTTTTATAATTCAGCGTGCAAGTTTTCCTTTTACATTGCTGAACAACACAATATCCTAGATTTCTTTCGAAGACCATCTCAATAATCTTCAGCTTTTTCATTATGATTTACAAATTGTAGGAGTATTAGTATAAATATATAGATTCAAATAATATTATTCATTTCGATACAACAAAGTTTCAAAAATAAGAGGGACTTAACCTTCTAACGTCAATTTTTTTGTTATATTTCTTTCAGGTGAAATAACAACTGCATCTTCCACATCACTGACAGGTATATCTAATAATTGGAATCTAACCAATGTATGAAATATATTTGTTTATTAGATTTGAAGACGCTAGAGGATAAAATGACTACTACAGACAAATCTAAGTTATTATCGACAATGTTGATGAGAAGTACTCTTCAGATCTCATTGAGCGATGTAACAGCTGAGACTTTCGATTCCTCGCTACCAACAGTCACAAAGAGCAATCCTCAATTCTTATCGACAATAATGAGTGTTCCTACTTCCCACTCTCCATTAGTAACCGTGACAACAAATTCCCCGACATATCTGTTAGATACAGCAGCACCATCTACTTTAGAATCGTCATCAACAACTATGACGTTAGATATATCTGAATCTACTTCAAAAATGACGGTAACAAGTAGTTCTGAGTTTGCTTTAGCATCTTCAACAGGAGACAGTTCTTTATTATCATCGGTACCTATGGCAGCAAGTACTTCTGAGTTCATATTAGACTCTTTGACAACAATGAGCTCAGTAATACCGTTAACGACAATGGCGGCAAGTAGTTCTCAGTTAACACCTGAATTAACAACAATAGATAGTTCAGTAATGTCATCGACACCTATGCCCGCGATTAGTGCTGAGTTAGCATCAGAATCATCAACAATAAGTAGTTTAGTATTGACACAGATACCTACCACAACAAGTAGTTCTCAATTCACGTCAGAATCGTCGACAATGGATGATTCAATAATGTCATCCACGTCTATGACAACGATTAGTACTGAGCTAACATTAGAATCTGTAACGACAGACAGCTCCCTCTTATCGGTATCTGTGATGACAGACAGTAAACAATTGACGCCAGAATCTTTCACGACATATAGCCCACTATTATCATCGACCATTATGACAACAAGTAGTACTCAATTACCGTCAGTATTTAGGACAGCAGATAGTTCAGTAACGACATCGATTCCTATGACAACAACTAGTGACGGATTAACATCAGAATCTTTAACTACAGTCAGTTCCGTCTCACCATCAATATCTGTGATGACAGACAGTATTCAATTGACGTCGGAATCTTCGACAACAGATAGTTCGGTAATATCATCCACACCGTTATCAAAGATTAGTGATGAGTTAACATCAGAATCTTTAACAACTGACAGTTCTGTGTCAGCATCAACATCTGTAATGACAGACAATACTCACTTGACTTCAGAATCTTCAATTATAGATAGTTCAGTGACACCATCGACACCTATGACAACGATTAATACTGAGCTAACATCAGCACCTTCAACAACAGGCAGTTCATTATTATCGTCGATAATTATGACAACAATTAGTACTCAGTTAGGATCAGAATCATCGACAATAGATAGTTCAGTAATATCATCGACGTCTCTGACAACGATTAATACTGAGTTAACACCCGAATCTTTAACAACAGATAATTCCGTTACAGCATCAATATTTGTGATGACAGACAGGTTTCAAACGACGTCTGAATCGCCGACAACATATAGTTCGTTATTATCGTCGATAATTATGACAACAAGGAGTAGTCAGTTCGGGCCAGAATCTTCGACAATAGATAGCTCAACAATCGCATCGGCACCTACGACAATGATGATTGATAAGTTAACACCAGAACCTTTAACAACAGATAGTTCCGTGTCAGCATCAATATCTTTGATAACAAGCAGTACTCAGCCAGGGCCAGAATCTTCGACAGCAGATAGTTCAATAGTATCATCGATAATTAAGACAACAAGTAGTTCTAAGTTATCGTCAGAATCATCAACAATGGATAGTTCTGGATTATTATCGACACCTACAACAATAGGTAGTTATCAGTTCACATCAGAATCTCTGACAATAGATAGTTCAACATTATCATCAGCAGATATGAGAAAAGATAGCTCTCAGTTTACCTCAGAATCTTCAACAATAGTCAATTCAGTATCACCATTAACGTCAATGCCAGGAAGCAGTTCTCAGTTTACATCAGGATCCTGGACAAGACTCAGTTCGATGTTAGCCTCGACACCGACACCAATGGGTAGCTCTCAGTTAGCATCAGTACCTTCGACAACAATTAGTTCAGTACTATCATCGAGACTTATGGAAACGAGTAGTTCTCAGCTCACATCAGAATCGTTGACAACTGATATTTCAGTATTGTCATCGATACCTTTGGTAGCGAGTACTTCTCAGTTATCATCAGAATCTTTGATAACAGATAGTTCAGTAGTGTCATCAACATTCACAACACTAAGCGATCTTAAATACTCGTCGATAACTACGGCTACACAAAAATCTGAGCCATCAGGGACAACTATGATATCAAGTAATAACGATGTATTCTCCGAAACTATGACAACAAGGAAAACTGAATATACATCAACAACAATGACAACTGATCAATCTGAATCGTTATCAACGACAATGATTTCGACTACTGCTCAAACATCACCTGCAACCACAACAATAGGTAAAATAGAATTTTTTAGAAGAAATGGCACAGGACTGTTTTCTAAACTGTACAAAAAGGTGCTTGAATTTTATTAGTTTGAGTGACAACAGTTAGAGACTTAGCAATGTCTACTGTAAGTTAATATCTTGCAATTATTATATACAGTAAAGTACTGCGAAAATCCTCTTATAGTTAAACAATTTTCTGAATGAAATAAAAGTTTTAATCGTATTAAGAAGTCTGTATGTATTAAGTCACTTTGTATAGTTTTCATTGAAATGACTACGACAATGATAATACAAGAGATGACAAGTAAAATAACTTGTTTACATGAAGTGAAATAAATCTTAATTTTAAGTACGTACTCCGGATACTTCGCGAATTACTGAAAATACGAGTATTGTGAATGTAGAAAGTGAAGCAGAGACCAGTAAATCTAGTATATTTAGCTTACACATAAGATATTTTAACAATACATGAAAATTTTAGTTATATTTCTATCTATAATATCTGAGACTATTGAGAATTTATACAACTTTATTCTTGTTAATCATTTGTTCTACTTTGTAGGTGTAACAACAACATTAGTGAGTACATATATGTCAACAAGTACGTATTTTAATTATAAACATAACATAATAAAGCGGTAGTTATTGATTTTTAGCAATGGGAATGGCCAGTAGACAGGTTACAAATATTCCATCATCTATGAAAATCACTGGCACAATGATGAGTAAGTCATTGAGAAAGATTATCATATACGATTTGTTAAACGAGAACTAAAGAGAATGTTCTATGAATGGTTTAGTCATCAATTTTAATATAATTTGATGAAATATTTATTTGTCATTTATACTAAGTGAATACACATTATCTCAAAAGAAATTGTCTCAAGATATAAGATTTAATCGATGTTTTTTATCAAGAGGAAAAAGAAATGAATAAGATTATTTTATATTTACAGATAACAACGTTCAAACATCAACTTCTACTCAATTAGTCTTTTGGAATATAGATAAACCGCTTAACTATGGACGATCTATGTTTGGAAGTGCTCTATTAGCAAATGGGCAAGTTCTTGTAACTGGAGGCATGTTAACTTCCACTACAACAATTATACGAACTGAAGTTTATACATCAATCGGATGGCAACTTGGAACTTTGATGAAAGCGCCACGTGTTTCTTATACTGTTACTACTTTTGCAAATAATACTAAAGTATTAGCAGCTGGTGGTAAAACTATACTCTGTCTACAAACTGCCGAAGTATATAACAGTGTAAGTAATACATGGACATCAACATCAATCAATATGTCAAGTCCTCGTTTTGCACATACAGCTACACTACTTGCAAATGGACAAATACTCATTGCAGGTGGAGCGAACGCTTCATCGAGAAGTATATCTGCAGCTGAGCTTTATATTCCATCATCGAACTCATTTATTAACACAACTAACATGAATATAGCACGATGTTATTTTACAAGTACACTTCTTAGCGATGGATCCTCTGTAATTTTTACAGGAGGTTTGAGTGTTAGTGGTTCTCTCATTTCAACAGCAGAACTTTATATTAATGGTTCTTGGGTTCCCATATCCAGTAATATGACTCAAAGTCGAGCTTATCACGCTACTGTATTATTAAATGATGGAACTGTATTAATCGTAGGTGGAGGTACCGCTGCATATAGTGCATATTTCACTGCTGAGATTTATAATCCGACGACACAAACCTTTACAGCTGTTGGATCAATGCAATATCGTCGAGCAGCATTCACACTTACACTCCTGCCATCAGGTAAAGTATTAGCAGTTGGTGGAGTTGATTGGACATCAAATACATATCCACTCGTATGTGAATTATATGATCCTTTAACAAGAACTTGGTCAAATACTGCTATGTTGAATCGTGGAAGAAGTTTTCATCAAACTTTGTTACTAAATACTTTTGTATTAACCATGGGTGGCGACGACGGAAACAATACTAAAGTTATCAGTTCTGAAAGATACAATTTATGAAACATTATAATCAATATTAACCTAGCTGTAATAACATTTTTTCTTTTTCGAAATTCGAATCTAAATAATATATCTCATAAACTTAATTATATTTAATAAATAAAAATCGAATATTTTAAATCTGTATTTATTCTCAGGATGGGTTATATACATAATGATCGGATAGTTATGATTTATATGTGAATCTTTCAAAAACTGATCATCTACAAGTATAGCATAAAATGTTGTGTATTATATTAAACAGGATAAAATACGAATGACATATTATTACACTCTTTTATTCCTCGAAGAAATTCTACTAATAAAAATTTACACAATTTAAAGTGTATTAATAAGAGTTAATTGAAAGATGGATTTTTTGTATTAAATATGTTAGTTTATAATTAAGAACAATAGAACTTTATATCCATGTTTATCGAAGACATGAAATAAATAATATTATTAAAATATACCTCTATTGTGCAGTAGACTTACTGAATGAAACAAAATTGCAATATTTACTAGTAAAATATTTTAATTCAAATGTCGATTGATGCTCCACTGATAATCTCTGTTTTATTTTATTAATACGTCATCTAAACAGATATTTATCATATAAAAAACAAACATTTGAATTGATTTAATTACTGTCGAACGATTTGTTGTACGATAATACTTATAGAAATTAAATTTGATTTTGGTTTTGGCCAATTTGGAATTTTCCCTTCATGATCACTACACAAAAACTTCCACATGTACAAAATATTAGAAATAATTCAGATCGAGTAGAATATTGTAGATTAGTTATTTTAGATGAAATCAAATAAGAAATAAAGTGTAGTCTATTTTGTGTTACTTCCAGACTATATTATATGAACATTGTTTTCTATGCAGAGATACAATCAGTTCAATTTTGTAAAGAATTAGATTTTCTGATAAGGATTAGTTTCTCAGCAAACATAGTTTTTATTCTGTACACAAAATCCTCTCTTTCAAAATAAAATATTCCTAAGTTTATGTTATCTATTAGGAATTTTATTTCAGATACCTAAATGCATCATTTAATTGATTAATACAGTTTCAAATACGTTAGTTTCGATAGAAGTTTTGTATTCAAACTGCAGAATGTTCTCAATGAAATTTACGACATTGTCTCCACGACCGTACATGCTAAAAGAAAAAGAAACAAAACAAATAGTCATAATAAATAATTTTGTTTGCAGTAAACAACATCATTATTAATATTAAGTTCATTACATATATAAGCAACACTTTCTTTGGTAAATGGTCCATATGGATGTAGTTTGGATCGAACACAATCGATTATTTCATATCTAAGAGAGAAAATACATGGATGTATATATACATAGATTTATTTTTATTCTACCATTGAACAAATCGATCGTATGATGATCGATGACAGAAATCTTTTTTTTGTTTTGATGAAGAATTTATTAATGAAATATTTAGAATTTGTAGTTTTATCCGCTTGACGAACACGTAGATTTTCTAATAAACCTAAATCGTATAGCATGATTCTGACACTGCAGCAATGTTGGAACAAAGCTGACTCTTCACCTTTGTTTGTGTTGTTTTTTCTGTTTCATCACATCAGTCACAATAAGCAAATGGTAGAAAATTGACTTGACTTTTATAACATTTATTTATTGATAAAAAATAAAGTAATGAGACAATAAGCAATACTAATTACATATGAAATGATGAGACAAGAAGCAATATTGATTAAAAATGAAATGATGAGACAAGAAGCAACATTGATTAAAAATGAAATGATGAGACAAGAAGCAATACAATTTAGATTCTGTTTTTTAAAGTCATGATTTAATGTTCATTCGATATGAATGCTTAGCTAAGAAGGAACTACTCGTGTTGATGATGAGCGACGAGCGATTTGTATCCATCCCGCAATTTTTCGATACATACACCACCCATACCAGACAATAAAACTAAGAACGACCGTCAACCCGCCATACAACCCAAGCACAGTGGTGATTATGTAGATTATTGTATTGTGATCAATATATTTGTATGAGCACGAATGCGGAGCACATGAAGCGAAGTAGCTTGAATAATTACTTTTAATTCCCCAATCCTCCACGAATAAACTATCAACGAGGCTGCTTATGAGAGTATTCGAAGGATAGATACTAGGTGTTGAAGTATTGAGTGGTTTAGCAAGCCAAAAAGTGGTAGGGCGTGTCAATTGAATGCTTGCCAGGTTAAGAATACAGTTTGAATTAAAGAAACATTCCAGAGTAGACAGACGAGCACCATCGATTGGTAAACAACCACCTACCACGCCAGGCAATGCTATCGTGTTAGAATTCGCATCAATATACAAAGGTCGTGGGAAACTGTCTAATGTTGTAATACATGAATAATTATTTCCAAATGAACTACGTGGCACAGTGGCAAGAACGTAATTATCTGCCGCAGTTGTGCGAACAAATTGCCAGTTTGTTTCAGGTACAACTAGCAGTTGATTTGCACGAAATGTTTCATAAATAAATAGCTGAGTACGGCGAAATTTGTCTGATGTTTGAGCAATAAATGTGGCTGTAAGCGAATCAATTTGAGCTTGAAATGAACTGAATGACATTGCTTCAAAAGTGACTAATTTATTAGTAAGAAATGCACTTGTGTCATTATCGATAGATTGCTGTGCTAATGAACATAATGATGCAAGAATACGAAAATGAATGCTAAGAAGTTGAAGATCCAGAAAATTGGGTGCAATATCAGTGCCCCATAGATAACCCCACCATTGTTCTGCAACAAAATCGCTGGAACATACCTGATGCAAACGAGGTGAAATCGAGAGAAATACATTGTGTTGAGTAGAGGCTTGTGAACAAACACATGACAGGCTTGACTTGTGTTGATCTTGCAGGTACGAAAATGTTGTTTGAGATGGCGAGAGAACTGTGAAAGTGCGTGTTTGTTTGCTAAAACTTGTGAAGAAAATGATGATACCAAAAGCTAGAGACAACAAAATGATGTAGAGTCGGCTAGGTATTTTTGTATTCATAGCATGGCCCGCTGGTAGTTTATCTTTGAAAACATCCATGTTCAACAACATATTCCGTACATGGGCCAATAGTAAACACCGCTGATTGTTGTGATCAGTTGTTTGTTGATCTAGAATGATCAAATATGTTCATTATTCACCTAAGCAATATTACTTTCTAGAGTACAATAATTTAGTGTATCGAAGAAGACAATACTCGCACGAATTCCTTTTTTCGACCTGTGTGATCATTTGAGATTTCTGTTGCACGCAAATGTGAAAGTTTACGAGGCAAGACAATTAACGCCTTGTACTATTTTCTTGCACAACTGAAACGCTCGTTATATATCGCATTGTTTCTAAGAACTACAATCATGAAGTTATTGCAGTAAGATTGTAGAAACTGTTGTCCAACGAAAATAGCTTTTTCTTAAGCTGATAATTAGACAATATTTTCGTTATTACTTTCAACGAAAATGAAGTCAAAGGAGATTCATCCTTGCCATTCAAAATCATAGATATTCTAGATGCATTAATATACTATATTTACTCAGGGATGGCGCTAGCCGGTTAAGAGTTGGGGACTGTCAGTTTTTGTATGATCTAGAGTCGAAAGCATCATCGTTATTCATTTTTCTATCTGCTCTACATGCATATTTCTAGTAAATATGAATAGAATCTGCTGTATTCAATTTCTCCTATTTATAACTACTCTCAAATTCAGAATTTTTGCAAGAAAAAAAGTTTGAAAGAGAACTGTGTGAACATGCACTAGTCCTCAGAGAGGATGCCATAGCTTGGAGCACGCATAAACCTTCTCTGGTCATCTAGTAGTACTGAAATAAGTCACAAATGTTACCCATAGATTACATCGAAACTTAAAACAACTGGTCTTGATTACTAAGCTAAATAGTAGAAAGAGTCTGATCCACACTTTCTTATTTGGGAAGCATCGCAACTCCCATGACTTCGCAGATCGTGACAGCTCTGTATGTCATACCATCCATTATTTCATAACGGAAGATCTTCTGCCGTAATATCGAAAAAATACTTGTATCTTCTCAACAATTACAGAGAGCTCGTTTCCAGGAAAATATATTTGTATTCGCTACACTCCTATAAGTCAATATTAAACATCTGCAACAATCGAAATTAGAAACTATTTGTATTTCTATAAATAACAGATGACGATAACTGTGTTTATCCTAAGAATAAGAGTTTAGACAAAAACATCTGTTTCACTTCTGATACAATGACATAATGAGTGAAGTATATAGATAATAAATTTATGAACTTACCTAGTCTATCGAGGCCTTTACAGCGACGAAAAATACCCACTATCAGTTTTACACAAGGTGGCAGAATCAGCTTTAGTGCAACACTAAGCCCACCCAATAAGCCGATGAGGACTGTAATGGCAGAAGCGAGAGCATATCGTTGATCATATGTGTATGTGCAGCTATCAGGGTTACATGTTGTATAGTAGGTGCTGTAATCACTAGATGATGTCCAGTTTTCGATAAACATTTCCAATACTAGTGGTTCAAATGTAGAATTGGATAAAAACCGACTGGGTAAATCTGGATCGAGTGCTGTAGTGTTGACTGCACGTGGATCAATCGATACAGTCTTTACACTGATGTCAAATAAACGCCAATCGAGTAGAAATTGAATACATGACTGGTTGAAGAGGCAGTCAAGTGTTGAGAGTAGTAACGAGTCTACGGATGTGCAGCCCGAAAACAAACCTGGAATGGTGGCGTTTGGTTGTGCATTGTTACTAACGCATGAGCTTACACTGCAATAGAAGCCTTGCGGTCGAGTACATCTCCTGGATATGGCGCATGAGCAGACAGATCCCGAAGGATATATGTTTTTCAAAATTAATCGAACATTAGAACGAACGGACGTGGCAATTAGAACAGACGGAGAGCTTATGGGGCTGTAAAATTGATTATCTCGAATTGCTGTGCTTAGTTGAGAGAACAGAGTCAGAAAAGTAGCTTGTGTTGCTTGTTGAAACTGTAATGCTAGTTCAGTCGTCTTATTTTCGAACAATACATATGGTATCAGATACACAGTCACCAGTTTTGTGACGCCGAAAACAGTTGCGGCATTGATAATGGTTGTATTGGATGTTTCACACAGTGTTTTCATTAGAGTAAATAGATTAGAACCGGTATTTGAACGAAAATCCTCAGCAAACGTAGTGTAAGTGTCTAGGGTCACGCCGGTTGATCGTAATTGGAAATAAAGTAACCAGCGATCATCTCGGATAAAATCACTTGAGCAGAGCTGATGAAAATGAGGTGTAACAGTCATTATCTCACCATAGGTTACTGAAAGGCTAGTGCAAGGACACACGAGTGTCGATGAATATCGAGAGTACAGTTTTTCGAAAGTGTCCAAAGAAGGCTGTTGTATGGTAACACTTATCGTAGTCACACTCAACAGTGAGTAACTGAAGAGAATGACTGCACCCATAAACGTGAGAAAAATATAGAGACGCGTTGTTTGAATTCCCAAATTCACGGTAGAAAAAGACCTTTCGAACATGTTAAATGTGCTGATTAGTTGACGAATTCGATGAATGAGGTTGAGAAGGCGTCCTCCGATGCTTGGCACTGAAACAATTCAAACAACTATCATTTGTTGTCATTTATAAAAAAGAATTCAATATCTGAACAAATAACAGTTTGTCTTTCAAACAATTCAACACTCATAGTTTCTTGTTTAGAAAATACAGTAAATCAAACAAATTTTCAGTATCATTACATAAACATGAAATAAATCAGGGAACATAAAAAAAGTTGCCTACCTGCAGGATCATTATCTATTGTGGGAACTGCTTCACCTCGGCATTTAACCAGTAGACCACGAAAGAATTGTACGAGAAGTGGAACAAGAATACCGAGTATTGTTGTGAGACCTCCGATGAGACTGAACAGCATCGTCATTGCATAAAGAAAATTACCACTTTGTGTATAAGTGTAGGAGCATGCTTCCAGATGGCATGCATTGTAGTAACTGGTGAAATTACTCGAGTTTTGCCACGTTTCAACGAAGAGTTGTTCGAACATAGTATTTACGGTTGTATTGACTTGAAAGCGAGATGGAACAGTCGTATTGAGTGGGGTGATTGATTGCGAGATACCTATGAGATCTAGACATGAACGATTGTAAAAACATTCCAGTGTCGACTGAAGCATTGAATCATGGGGTAAGCATCCAACTACCATACCCGGCACGATAAACATAGGTGGTGGCGAGGGCTGATATACGCCAGTCTGATTCTGTCCAGGGCGAATGGAGTAGTTGTAGTAACCTGCTTGAAACGTACAGTTTGACTTAACCCTACAATTGCAATTAGTATACTTCTGATTCGAGGCATTGCTGATAATATAATTCCTAAGTAGGTAGGTTCCGCTTTTAATGTAGTAACTCAACTGTAATGGATTAACGATAAGGTAATAATTGGTGTTCAAAGATGACATAATTCCACTGTTGAAAATAACTAGGGACACCAACTGATCGATATACTTCACGTTCGCTGTTGTTGTCGTTTGCATTTGTTCGACAAGCGCTACAACTTGAGCCTCAAATACTTCACGTGATAAAGCTCGACTGGTAACCATTTGTTGAGTCAGAAATTGATTGAGGTCATTGTTAATAGTTGATGCCGCTGTTTGACACAACAATGCTAAGACCTGAAACTGAGACATAGCCATCAGACGAAAATCTAGTGGTGAAAATCGGGACATATTTATGTTGAACAGTGTTGAAATGAATTGCTGAGAGACAAATTGACTTGAACACACTTGATGATAACGTGGATTGAATAACATAAATTGATCATAGCGAATATTGGTTTGTGAACAAGGACAAACAATAGTATTCGGATACTCATCGCTCAGATGTTCAAATTGATCGACCGAAGGTGATGTAACAGTTACGACGTGTGTTTGCATCTTTAGCGTAGCAAATAAAGTGACAATGACTACAGAGATATTCAGAAGAATAATGAACAATCGAGTTGCTAACAATTGATCATCGATTGTCAGAGAGTTATCGGTTTCATACAAGTTAAACTTGCCGAGCCATACATAGAGACGCTTCCAAATCATCGTTGCAAAACTCTACACTAGAATTGTTTTCAAGAAAATACTCTTTTACATAGAGCCGTACGACAATACTGACTATGAGCACTTCAATTCGGAACAACTGTAACGTCTGCTTTCATTTATTGTAAGAGAAAATATAGTGCAAGAGAGAAACACTGAAAGATAAAAAAAAGTTGAATCGTATCTTCCAGCTGTCTTTGAAAATGAGTTGAGCGTTTTTATCGTGTTGTTTAAATGACTTCTGCAAAGTCAGTGAATAATAAAATATCATAGTTCAGTTATGAAAAGTCCGTTAATAGTGCATTCTATAAATAACTTCCAAAAAGTCAGTGAATATTATAATAGCCTACTTGAGAAAAGTCATAGATGTGATTTGTAAACAAATATATAATAAAATCAGCAATTTATTTTAGTGGTGATGGTCTATTGAATAGTGATAAGTAATAAACTCGTGTTAGAAGTTATTTATATCATTTTAAACTATAATCATTTATACTGAGAAACAGTAGAAGATCATATTTTAGTTTATGGCATTTGTGATTTTCAATCAGTTTTTGAACGATATAGTTTCAATAGACTATGTGTTCACGTATCTGTAACTTGATTTATATAAGGAAATATAAAGTGATGTCATTTCTTGTAGTGTATCGTAATTTATTTTAACTTAGTATTAAATCTATTATGGTTGATACAAGAAGTCGAAAAATATTATCAACGTTTAGAGTTTCTAGATGAAAAACAAGATAATCTCTTTTCCAGTTATTTTAATTATAGTTGAATCAAAGAAAGAAAAAACGAATGAAACCGCTAGTTTTGACGTTTTTCTACTCGTAATTATAATTCAAGATGATGTAAATGACTACTGACATGGATTTATTGTTGATTTTATATTCATCTTCTAGCAAGGGAAACGTATTACTGTGCTCAATTAGATCATTATATTATTCACTGACTTTCAAAACTCATTTGAACAATATCATAGAAATACTCCAGGCATTTTCAAAGACAGTTGTTAGATACGATTCAGTGTTTTTACTGATCTTTTAGTGTTTATTTCTTATATCATGCTTTTTCTTGCAATAAATGGAAGCACGTCTTGCAGCTGTTGCGAAGTGAAACGTCGTTCGAAGTCACTATTCTAGTTTTCTATCAACAAGATGTCATTGAAATTCTGTAATAAATCTACTATTTATGATTTCACCATTCAGTGAAAATAAATTTTTTTAAAACTATTACAGAATATTGAATATATTCAATACGATTTTACCAAAAAGCCAGAAGTCTATGCCTTGTACTATGAATAAGACATTATAACTTTCACATGTATTTTCTCTAGTTATTTTGAATATTGTTTTCAAAATAATAAAACCATCAAAAATCAAAAAAAAACACAAAATAAACTATTAACATTCACGCGCCTGATTATTACTACAATCATCTGTTAATTTCGATCTTTCTTGATTTCGTATTTTATTGTTAATGATAACATCAAAGATTCTATAAAAACATCTATAGAAAACTTAGATTTGTATTGTATGTAGAGTATTGAATCATATGCAATTTGTGTTTCATTTTTCTTCAACAATGGATTAAACTTAATTCATTAGTTTCTCTCATTCTAAGTGTGTCAATAGGCATTCTACTCTTGAGACAAAACGAATTTTTAGTATCAAAATGTGATTTATCGACATTATCATTGATTTTGACGAAAATATTTTGTTTTTGAATTTCATGCGGAACCTGCAAGTAAATAGATATTCATTTATGAAACATAATGAAACTTTATCAACAAAGAACAAACTTCATATTGTTGTCATATACCATACCGACGGTCACAACTATTACAGTGTTATTGTTATATTAGATTCTTCAGAGTTGGTTGCGTTGTTAATGATGAATCATTCGATAAGATGTGCGAATAAACTATTACAAAAAACGTATGGAAAGTAAAAACTATGTTCCAGTTAATATTAATCATGTAAAAGAATTGATTTTGTTTCACTGTGTCAAATATCATAATATAGAATTAATTCTTCATTGAAATACAAAGAAGTCTATTTCCAAGATAAGATACTTTGACTTCTATTAGAAAAAAAGTTAATATACATAACTAAATATAGAATTATATCAAAAGTTTAATAAAATCTATGAAACTTTCCATTTGTCATAAAACTATCTATAAATTATTAAATTATTAGTCAAACAAATAAATAAATTTGCCGTAGATTTTATCAATAGCGATTTTTGATAATACAAATAATTAGTTTTTTTTTAATGCGATACGAAGCAAAGCATATAGGTAGTCCTTCACGAGTTTTTAAATTTAAATTTCAAGATAATTAAAACGAAAAGCAAAAGAAAAAGTTAGACGCCACTTCTTTCTAACCAATATTTTACAGCTGAAAGTATTGCTGATGACTGATAATGAATCATCTAAATAATTAAAAAAAGACTCATCAGTGTTCTTTCAACATGTGATAGTTTGAATTCTTGATTTCGATAATATAAATTTGACTTTATTCTATTATAATCGTGAATTTTCGGAATTTTGAGAAAACCTGAAAGTCGTTATTTCGAAATCGAGCTTCGACTAGTATGCTATCTAGTTCTTTTCTATTAATTTCTCTCTCTCCGACTATATAACTAGTTGATAGGCTTTGTAGTGCTGAGTAAGACGGTATTCTGTTAATTAGTGAGAAAACAAATCCCAGTAGCATATGGGTTTCAGTCTAAAATGCTTTGTGTAACTGCATGTATAAATTGTCGGCAACTAGAATTTAAAATAAAAGCTTTACTCTTAAGTATTTTTTACATTATTTTGATGTGTAATTCTGAATTTTCAATAAAAAGATGCAGACGTTCATCATTTATAGCAAGTTTAGTTTGATTCATATTCTCAATTGAAACAATGATTGAAATTTTATAACTAATTATTTTTACCAAATCATCAGTCATGATTCGTACAAAATACTGAATTGATGTTGAATTATAATTTCTAAAATAATATAAACATATCTCTCGATCAGCATGATTAAACAAAGATATCGTCTATGTGTTTTACTGTTAGCTAATGATGCGTAACGAAATCTATGAGAAATTCATAATTGAATCTTCGAAAAACGAACGTTACATTTCTATCTGTGATGATAAAATTTTCAATCATTTAAAAAAAAAGAAGCGCTATAACATTGATTTATATCTTGTTTACTGATCATCATTGGAATGTTAAAATAGGTACATAATTATTGCAATAAATTCAATTATATTTTTTTTATTTCAAAATACATTCATTATTCTATTAGATTAGACTCTGATGATTTCATTTATGTTTGACTACATAATATCGAACATTATCTGTTTAAATGGAAAAATAATAACATTCTCAACATTCGTATAATCACTTTTAACCAACAGATCATTGAGCATGTATAATATCTTGATGACTTTTTTTTCTTCACAAACATCATCTGAATAAATTATTTCACATTGTCACCTATCACAAGGTGCATGATTGGTGATGTATTTTTTTCTTCTTTCGTTAAACACTAAATTTATCTACTCATATACATGCGATTGACAAATTAGATATATGTAGTGAGAGTACGAATAATTAGTTATCGTTCATCATTTTTTTTTCGTTAATGAGCGAATCAGTAAAACAGACATACGAACTTCTCACTCATAATAATTGAATGAATAATTCAATCAATTCCATCTCAAAATAAATCCAGAATTTGAGTTTGTATTAACCCTCTCTCACATAGAGTACTTTATTGAACAAAAAAAGTGTTATCCAGTAACACTCTACATAAATTAAGGGACATTGTCTGAAAAACTTCAGTATGTTTCGAGATCAAAAGCTGAAATTATATACAAAACAAATTCTCTATTAGAAAGAAAACATAAGCTACAAATTACATTCTTTCTATGCACCAGTTCTATTATCTATCTATTAATAGATATATTCGATATTTGATTGGTCAATAGATAAATGAGAAGAGAATTATGTTAATAGATAGATCAATTTTTTTCTTCTTTTTTCTCATGATTGGTTGAATATATAATTCATCGACACTTTATATACCTTCATTCTATTTTCCATATTCATTCGAAAAAGAGAAAACAATATATATATCAAACATGAAATTTTGGTGTGGAAGTTCACGACGTGTAAGTAATTCAACTCAATTAATATACAATTAAAAAAACAACAATTTTTTGTTTATTTCTAGAAATCAATCGTAAAATCTAATAATTCATTATCATCATCTGCTTCTTATGAAACAATATCATCGCTACCTATTCAAAAATCTGATAGTGGCTTTTCGGAAACATCATCATCAATTATACAATCTCATACATCTTTCGAACAAATTCTTATTATTGAAAAAACACATCATGAAAATTTAAAAAAATATATTATTAAATATTCTCGACCATTACGACGTTATTTTAATCCAACTGAAATCGTTAATCTCTTTCAAAATATCGAAAAAGTAAGTTCACAAATTTTATTATTATATTTGTATAAATAATTCGTTATTTAAGATTTCTACAATATCAAAATCAATTGTTCATCAATGTGACAAATTACTTCGTGAACATTCTATCTCTCATATACCAATATCAATGATTTATCAATCATCGGTAAGATTTAATTTCTTATGAAACAAAAAATATTTATATAAAATTTTTCTAGTTTGGCGTTATGATTGACTCATATAATACATACATATCACGAAATATCGTATCTCAACGAACATTAAAACAATATAGTGAAAAAATTGCATATTTTCTTCAAGTATGTATTTAAAAAAAAATTAATATTCAACTAAATTTAATTTTCTAGGTTCCAATTGAAGTTGTTGAACAAGAAATTACTGATTTTATTCTATTACCACTTCGTCATATTTGTATATTAAATGATCTATTTCAAAATTATGATTTAACCAACATGATTGAAGGTAAGATTTTTATCTTAATACTGATTAGAAGTTCTTTATCTTCTTGAGGAGACAGGTCGTCAAAAATTTAAGACATGAGCTCTGAAGAAAATAGGATTATAATAATAATAAATAAATCTTTCTTTTTAGCTATTAATTTTTTATCAAATCAAGCAAGTTGTATTCTTCGTTTATCATCAAATGATCAAGAATCAATATCAAATTTATCATTAGAATCAGATATACAACCAATTATTGTTTTACAACGTACAGATAAAGAATCATGGAAATCGGTAAGTTATAAATATTTCATTTTTTGAATATTTTTACTAATGGAAACTATTTTTTTGTAGAAACAACTTGAATTATCAAAATCAAGATTATTGTTTACTGAACTTAATGAATCGTCAGTTAATACAAGTATTTGTTTATCAAATGTCGTTCATATTGAAGAAGATTTTGCAAATGAAAAATTATGTTTATTAATTGCATCAAATAGAAGAACATCTGAACAACATTCATTAACTGTTATTAAACGTGTTTATCTCCGATTTGAAAATCGAAATGAATATTGTATTTGGTTATATTATTTAAGAAATGCTATTCAAGATGCAAAAGATCAAAATTGGACAAAGAGAAATGAACTTTTTATTTAAAAAAAATATAATTTGTATGTGAATGTTTTTAATTTAAACTAATAAAATTTTAATATAAAAAAAAAAGATTGTTTATTCATTGAATTTTCTCTAAGGCGATTACTGTTAAAGTCATATTATATCCTAGTTGTATCAGTGCAAACAAAGAACGTTCGGAAAATAATTACTTGTATGCTACGGAATGCTTTCGAAAGAAATTGTCTTTACGGGTAAAATTCTACTGGGAGGATGATGGGAATAATCACACACTGGGTATATGTGATTGTAAAGGACCGCGTACTAGAGCGGAATAATAGCATGCTGAAGAATACCATCACTTAGTGGAATTATACATTCCTTCTTCACATTACAAGTATGAAAGTGCGTATTATAACTTTTTACTATTATGATAGCTATTTACGCGACAAAAATATGATAAAGTTTAAACTAGTTTACAACAAACAGGAATACTTATGAAATTAGTTCGTGTGTTTTTTATGGTATCAATCGATAAAATATGAATAAGTAAATCTTCGATTATATACGATTGTTTTTCAAATGAAGAAGACGAAGTCTAACGGAATATTATTTCTATTAGAAATATATGTAAATAGAATTAATGAATAACTGATTATATGCTATAAAACGACGGAAATGCATTTAGGTTTCAGAAAGTATTAGAAACGATTGATTACACATGAATCATCCATATTTTAGATATGAATTCTAGCGACATCTATAAATTATGTAAATAAAGAAATCTATTTCGAAATAAGTTTAACTTAAAAATTAGATTATATTGTACTCATATTTATATATTTATATTAAAATAGAAACATCAATATGATGTTCATATTTGTTCACCAATAGAAATTGATCTAAAATTGTTTATGTTTTTTTTTTCTTATTTTTCTTATATAAGGGTTATCGATAGTTTGAAATAAGTTATATTTTGTATTACTATTGATAAATCTTTTTTATATTATTTTGTTAATGCAAAATTTTAGATCGTCAAACGAAAACCAAGATGACATCTGGTTATTCAGTTCTTCAATTAAAGGAAGATGACGTACTTAAAATCCTTGCAGCACAACTTCATGTTGGCTCAAAAGACGTTGACTATCAAATGGACACCTATGTTTGGAAAAAAAAACCAAAAAATGAAGGTTCATCTATAATTAATGTTCGTAAATTTTGGGAAAAACTCGTTCTTGCTGCTCGAGCAATTGCTGCTGTTGAAAATCCAGCTGATGTTTGTGCCATTTCATGTCAACCACAAGGTAGAAAAATCTTTTCGAAAACAAAAAAACGATCTTTTGAAATGAATTTAATTAATTAGGTCAACGTGCTGTATTGAAATTTGCAAGATATACTGGTGCTACAGCTATTGGTAAGAATATTCGAGATATAAAAAGATTTCTATTATTTTTCTATTTTAAATAGCTGGTCGTTTTACACCTGGTTCATTTACCAATCAAATTCAGGCTGCATTCAAAGAACCACGTGTTATTATCGTAACCAATCCAAATGTTGATCATCAAGCCATTACTGAAAGTGGATTCGTCAATATTCCTGTTATTGCTTTTTGTGATCCATCAACATCACTTCGATATATTGATATTGCTATTCCAGCAAATAACAAGGTAAATATGAAGATTGATTATAAATAATAAAAAAAAATTCTTTGCCTAGGCTAATAAATCAATTGGTCTTATGTGGTGGCTTTTAACACGTGAAGTACTTCGATTACGTGGTGAAATCAATCGTCAAGCACCTTGGGATGTTATGGTTGATTTATTCTTTTATCGCGATCCAGAAGAAGTATGAAATCAAATGAAAAAATACTTTTTTAAACTATTTTTATTTTTCTATTTAAAGACTGAAAAAGAAGATCAAGTTGGTCCTTCTGGTCAAGATCGTGATACACAACAACACGCCATAGAATCAGCTTATTATGATGATGGTCCATCAATTATGCCATCATCAGAAAATTTCGCAGGTAATCAAGACAACTGGGGTGCATCTGCCGCTGATGGTTGGGGTACAGCAAATGCTGGAGCTGGTACTGCTGCTGTTGAAACCAGTGACTGGGCCGCACCAGCTGCCGTTAATACTGGTACAACTAGTGGCTGGTGATTTTGTTAAAAAATCATTTATTGTTACCTAAGCATGATGAATTCTATTATAAGAATAAGAACTATGTTACTACAAATAAATAACAACATCAACAACAATCGTAGTAATACATTATTTTATCATTGGGCTTAAATTTAATAAAAATGAAAAAAAAAAGAAAGATAAAAACAAAATATAATTTCAGCTCATAGAATATTTTTCTTTTATTTGCATGATTTTTTAATATGTGTCAGTGTGAATGATAAATAGTTTATTTGAACTTGCTGAGTCATACGAACATAGACGAGTAAGAAAGGAATGTGTAAGACAACAAAAAAGATAGAAAAAAAAGAGAAACGAAAAAAAAAAAGATGTCTTTAAAAAATGGAGAATGAGAGACAAAAATAAGTATAAATGAGTCTTTCTCTTCTTTCATTTTATTTTACTTTCTTGCATCAAAGTACACATGCCTACATATGTTGCCACGACAAACTATATCGACAGTTTAAAACAAAACTTGTCAACATATCAAGTTGGTAAAAAGGAGTATATATATATATTAATATAAAAACTCAACAGTATTAAAACAAAATAAATGAAAGATTTTTTTTTCTTATTGTAGATTATTAATTTCTTTTCATTGCATTAAAAATGCTTATCACCGAATTTCGAATTATTTTACCAATGACAGTTGAAGAATATCAAGTTGCACAATTATATGCAACAGCTAAAGTATCAAAACAAAATACCGGTGGTGGTGAAGGTGTCGAAATTCTTGAAAATGAACCATTTGAAAAACCCGTATCAGAAGGATTTCTTGGCAAATATCATTCGGGACAATATACAAAAAAAATTTATCATTTAGGCTCACGTGTACCAAGTTTCGTACGTTTATTATTTTCTGATTCAAGTTTATCTATGCATGAAGAAGCATGGAATGCCTATCCATATTGTAAAACAGTTCTTACAAATCCATATATGAAAGATAATATGATTATCGATATATCAACATTACATTTAGCTGATCGTGGTGAATCCGACAATGTCCATCAATTAACCGGTGATGAACTTAAAAAACGTAATATTGTCTATATAAATATAGCTGACAAAGTAAAACCAGCTGATTATAAAGAAGAAGACGACCCAGAAAAATTTAAATCAACCAAAACTGGTCGTGGTCCATTACTATCAAATGGAACATGGTATAAAGATTGTCAACCATATATGTAAGTTTGAAATTTTAAATTAAAAAAATATTCAGTTTTTTTTTCTTTTCTAAGGTGTTGTTATAAATTAGTTCGAGAAAAATTTAAATGGTTTGGTCTTCAAACACGTGTAGAAAATTTAATAATGACACAAGAAGAACGTTTATTTCGTAATTTTCATCGACAATTATTTTGTTGGACTGATGAATGGTATGGTTTAACAATGCAAGATATTCGAAAACTTGAAGCCGAAGCAAAGGAAACATTAAAAGAAGAACTAGCACATGGAGAAAAGAAAGGTTTTACTACAGAAGAATGAATACATGTCAATTAAATTATATTTAAACATTTTTAATTTATATTTTGTTTTGTTCAGTGTTTATTGTTTATATTGCAATATTCATGAAGAAAAAAATTTCAGCAATTCAAGCGATATATTTTTTTTCCTTTAGGTATTTTTAATCGTTTATTTTGTGTGCATGTCTGGTGGTTTTTTCTTTCTTTCTTCCTATTGAATTAGAAGATCACTTTTTCGTTTTTTGCTTTATTTCATTTTCTTTGTGTGTGTGTATCTATGAGAATAATTACAAAATATTACCAGGAGTACAACTATGTGGAATAATAAAAAAGAGAATATTTTGTGTGCAAATATGTATACAATGGTTTTGTTTTTTTGATCACTAAAATGTGAATAATAAACGGTTTATCTATTCTATAAAAAAAAATTTAAATTTAAAAGATTTAATACAAAGGTCTATCTCTTCTATAGAATAACACTTTCTGTTTGTTTATGTATTTTTTATAAAGATAAGCTTTATCTTTACGTGATATTTTGTCATTTAGTTTCTGTTTGAGCAGTACATTATCATTTAGATATTCTTTTTTCTTCCATTATATAACATGCACACAAATTTTAATAGAATTCAATTTTATCAAAAATAAAATTATAGCTTATCGTACTTATTATTCTATTGTAACTCAACATCGGAAAAAAGTGACTAGCCTATTGTGCAAGTCAACGATAAAATATTTCCCAATGAATCATTGTTTTATTCGCAGAAACAAAAATTTTAAATATGTAATATGATATTTCAATAATCAAGCAAGTGGGAATAATAGTTTAATGATTTTTTCATATAATTTTAGTTTGCTTAATTAGATGCAGCATTCTTAGGGTCCAATGAATATTCCGGAAGTAGAAAGTCTCTTGTTCTTCTTCTTCGAATTTTGCCACTACATAATAACGACTAAATTCAATCTGATATAACGTGCAAAATGATTGTTGAATCTTAATCTTCGAAATAATAAATATTATGTTCTTCCGTTCGAATGTTCATAACTATCAATACTGAAAAGATGACAATCTAATCTATAAATATCAACTTCAATAGTCCATTTCGGAAGTTTCATAAGCAATAATGACCAACACACGTAACACAACAAGTTTATTGTTTCATTAGATAAGAATAAGTTCCGGTATTTAACAAGAATGAGAAATAAAAGCAACTATATATCTATATTCACTAGAGATTGAATAATAAGTTTAATCAATATTTTTTTTTTCTTTATTTATAGTTTATTCATTTACAAATTGCTTTTAATCTATAAAGAATTATTGATCGATATAATTGACATAAGGCAAAAAAAAAGAAGAAATTCAGTAATCAATACTATATTATTATTTGAAGATTTTTCTTTTATTCAATTACTTCATCGAGTTCTATGACACTTTATTGTACGAGAATAGATCATTTAGAATAATTGATCGATCAATTTATCGTAAGAAGCACTTGTCGTTGTCGTTGATACTTTGCGATCACTTTTTTCTTCTCGACTCTCATCACATTATCTTCTTTAACAATCGTTACTTAATACTTTAAAAAGAAGAAGAACGATAATTGACTCTCAACTTCTTCTTCTTCTTCTCTCCTTTTTTTTTGAATCATCGAAAGCTTTTAGAGAGAAAAAACATTAGTGGAAGAAAAATGTGATACCTCAAAAGATTAATTGTTCATGTCACTATTATCTTATTTATTTATTGCTAAAAAAATAGTACTAATCGTAAAGCTAATTATTCATGACTGTAATAATAATAATAGATAAAGAAATTTGTTTTTCTTTTCAATATGAGATTAAAATTATAAATGTAAAAGACTAACAAAACAAAATGAATTATATATACATGTATGTTGCCTCTTAGGCAATTTCTTTCCGTTCAGTCGTCTCTTATTGTATGCTGTACACATTCTATTGATATAATACCTATAGTATTTTTAATGATATTTCCATGTTCATTCAATATTTTATCATTGTTTAGTAGTTGAAAGAGAAATAAATAGATTTTGTTATGATTATTGCTATCGCTTTTATTTCAATCAACAGGACAAACGTAATCGACCAGAATAAGACGTATCGTCTTTGCATGGTATATATTGTAAACTGATTAAACAAATGAGAGAGGTAATGCGATTATGTTTTGTCTATTGAACGAGAATAGTTAACTATTAGTTTCATAATCTCGTATTCTTTCTAAAACGATATAGATCGACTTCATATTGAATGCATGTAAATCTATAGAGACTCTTCAAACTAAACATGAAATGTGTAAGTAAGAAATTGTATTACCATCGATCAGCATAGTATGTTTTTTTCTCCCGTGGATAGTGATAGCATGATCATAAAATCGGACAATTATTTATAAACAGGATTTCTTCTTCTTCTATGAGAATTTCTTTAGTCGTCTTTTTCTTATGTTCAGATTAATTTACTTCTTTTTCTTTAATAAGCATGCTTGATTTGTGCTTTACTCAGAATAAGAAACGGAAGTTCTGTACATTTGCTAATTAAGTGTTCCGAAGATTAGATCAATGTGCACTCGTACAAAGAATGTATGTAGATGTAAAAAAGAAGAAGAAAAAGAAGATGCCCTTTTTTTTCTTTGACACAAATGTGCACATTGAAATGACTCTTCAGTATTTGTATAATAGTAATAATTAAGACTTGTAATCATCGGTTACAAAGGAGAAAAAGAAGTGTAGTATCAAGGTTATTCACATAACTTGTTCTAAGTAGTATTCCCTTATATAGATAGATGAGAATAGAGAGTGCTCACTGAAAATAACATATTTCTTTTGTCATATTAGTAAGTAAAGCAAGCAAACATTTGATAGAGTAAGGTGTAAATTTGACTAAAGATTACGTAAAAAAAATCCTTATTCATACGACAATTGAAGCACGTTATAACGAGAAAAAAAACGGAAGTCATAAAACAAAATATATAACGCCGACCATCATACACTAGCTAATTGTTCGACGAGTGAAATGTATTATAAATCGATCGTTTTATCTGGCGAGCGTTTAATCGGAGTAAGAATGATGAAGGATACCTGAATTAAGAACATGTATGAATGTCAAGGATCGACTAAAGAATTATTTCTCGAGCGATAAGTTAGGCATCTTAGAATAAAAACATAAGAAATCAGTTATGGCAAATTAATTTCGAAATTGATATCAGAGAATAAATGATCGATAGAAAAAAAAGAAAGTGAATGGCAGCGGGAGAGAAAAAGAGAGAAAGAGTAAGATAGTGTATTTAGAGATGAGATGCACTTTGTCTCGAAGGAGAAGGCACTCATTCTAATCAAACTAGCCTCTGTTTTTTTTCTGCTATAGCTATAGAATGATCGTCAACGCATTTGTTCTCTTTTCATACATAATGGAAGAGAAGAAAAAGATGCGATAGAGATATTAGTTCATGACAAAACATTATTGTGCGTTTCTTTCATTTATCTAGCAATCGTTAATATCATCATCATGTGGTGTTGATCTTCGAGTAAACAAAACAGGTCATTTATATCCTACTGCTGAATGAACGTATCATTACTATCAAAGCCATGTTAGGCTCTTATCGATTACTTATACTCTTTCGATTAATTCTCTTTGAATTACTTGGATTAAGTAAGATATTATTTCAAATTTTTTTTTTTCTCCTAGTTTAATCAATAATATGTTTTTGTATTTAGAATGTATGGGAGATGAGTCTTTTCGTCGTTATCGTCGATTACATTCTTCTATTAGTATCACTCATAACGCATCTGTTAGTCCATTGATTAGATATGTTTCTGTGTCAGTGAATGATTATTTTGCTGTTATTAATTGTTCGACTCCTGAACGCGTTCCTCATCATAAACTTGATTGGTATTTTCAAACACGTTCTTCTATAACACCACCACGTGTTATTTGGCAACGTGGTCGTTCGAATATCCATCGTTATATCGCATATTCACCTGATCAATTTCGTCATTTTTTACAAATTAAACCACTTCATTATAATGATAGTGGAACATATATGTGTTTAGATCAAACTAGTGGTTTTTATGCTGGAGTAGATCTTATAATTGGTAAATATCTTTTATAGTCTATTTTTTAAAAAATATTTTTTTTCGCTCTTCATTTAGATGATAGTCATAACTGTGCATTACAAACGACAATATTTATTTATCTCTTCTTACTTTCATTATTCATATCACGATATACTGCAAGTGAAAGTCAAGTGACATAATAAATTTTTTTTCTGTACGATATTATTTCTAAATATGTCTTCCGTCCAGTAATGCTTGTATCTATGACAAATATCTCAGGAATGAATTCGTTTTCTTTTGATATAAAATTAAATTTTGAATTGATATGATAAATAACGTTAATAACAAGAACAAAAATATAAATATATATATATATAAATCATAAAATAAAAAATCACGGAAGACACTGTCAAAAAGAAAATAGATTATCATAAATAAATTGATCGCCGTTGAAAAATACAACAAGAAGCATGAATTACAGAAAATAGGAAAATCATTTATGACTAGTTTAAAGTCCTGATGGTTTTATAATACTTGTATCATAGTTTCGAATTAATTGATCTTGTGGTATAACACCATTTTCTTCTTGTGAAAAAGCAAAACCATCTGAAAATTTAAAAAAAAATAGAGTTTATTCTGTATTAAAACAATAATTATTATTATTTACGATATGGTCTATCACTAATGCCCGTTGTTTTTGGTGTTTTTGGTCGGACAAAAACACTTTTTAATAATGCTAATCGTTCAGCAACACGTGAAGTTGTTGGTGGTTGTCTTGAATTAACTAAATCAGATGGATCTTGATGTGCAACTTCTTTTTCTTGTACTTCTTGCATTAATGTTTTGTAAAATGTTCGTTGAATACTAATCAGGAATATATCAAACGAAAAATATTATCTTTGAACGTTTAGCTTACCAATTATAGACAAAATCAGCAAACAATGTTGTTATTGGAATGAGTAATAGGCCGAACCAAAAATATGGAGTTGAAAAAACATATTTCGCCTTAAGAAAATAAATTCATATTTAGGATATCAATATCAATAACTTTAGTAAAGTTCTATGATTGATTTGACTATGACTTGTCGTAACGATTAGATATCAGTAAATATGCGTCAAGATCGAGTTTCTTGGTATTACTACAATTCTATGAGCATCGTAGAACTTACCATTCCACGCATTTCAGGTGCCACCGGGAATGTTGGCCATACATAACTGTATATGGCAAAAAAGATAAACCATGAAGCAATACTTCCCCAAATTGCAATATGTGTAAACTAGTAATAGAAATCCATTATTATAGAAAAAATTGACTATTCTTATAACTTACAAGTGACCATGAATCACTTTCAAGTCCAGCTTTGAGACAAACAGTAAAAACGACATACTAAAAAAAACAATATTCCTTTCATATTCTCTTTTTATAGACATATAAATCATTCATGCAACATAGCAAGGAAAACATACCGTGTAAATCATATTGCCTAAGAATAAAGAATCACCTACTTGTCCGTTGCTGAATGCAACGTCTATAAATAAAAAAATAAATAAAAGCAAATGGGTTAAATGGCATGCAGTTAGTTACATTCAGCGTTTAGAAAAATGGTTAGATATAGATTCAAAAATAGGAAAACGGAAACTTCAATTTACAGTATAAATAAAATTGCCCAGATATAGATGACTACCAGAAGCAATTCCATTAGTATGAAGAACGTCTAAATAGCAATATCATTTTGATATCTCTCTCGCTTGATTTTAATTTTCTTTTTAAACTAGGAATATTTTTTAACTAGAAAATAAATACATACCATGTTTAAGCATAGTATACGACATGAAATATAGGATAATCGAATGATAAACTGCATTAAGACACCACGTCCAAAAAATCTAAAATTAGTATATATATGCAAAAATAAAAGTTATATTAATTCATTTTACTTTAATATTGAAATCTGTTCGATTTTGTGACATTCTGTAAATAGCTGGAAAACGCATAATAGTTTCTGTATTACAGCAACGATCTAATAATCCAATTGCCATTGGTGGTGCTGCAGTAAACAAGACATTATAGATACCAATCGTCCATCGTTCAAATAGAATTTGACCAGAAAATCCATTATGAAATGCAAACCAAAGCTAATTAAAGAAATTATTCTATTTTGATAATAAATTTCATCAATAAACTAACCTCCATAACATAAAGACAAATATTTTTGTAAAATGAGTAAAGTATTACTTTACATAAACGACGATAACTCCATACACCATGTACAAATAAAAGTTTTGTTAAAAACCGGAATTGTCCAATTGTATAATCTGATGCACATGCAGCTTGTACACCTTCACGACCCATTATTCCAACACCAACATGTGCTGTTTGTATCATTCCAACATCATTAGCTCCATCACCAATAGCTAATGTAATTGCATCGGTTGATTGTTTAACAAGTTCAACAATTTCTGCTTTCTGTTTTGGACTGACTCTAAAAATTGAATATTGTATCTTTTTTTTGTTCAATGTTATTCATTTATCATACCGGCAACAAATGACTGTCTTGCACGATATAGCTAATTTAAGAAAATCTGATCGACATGATGCATCTAATGCATATTTAAGTGTTAGTCCATCTATAACTAACGAAGCAAGATTTTCTCGACATAATGAATCACCAAATCTTTGACAATGTTGTCGTAATTGTCTTTGTGTATTCTATTTTAAATAAATTTTATTTTTCTTAAATTAATAATATTTAAATTTACTTCGAGATTTTCTTCATCTAATATTATATTTAACATTTGATCGGTTAATAATTTACATGAATAACCAATATTAATAGCAGTTTCTTTTTTATCTCCCGTTAATACCCAGATCTACAAGATATTCAAATAAAATAATTTTTGTTATATATTTATATTTTACCTTAATACCAGCTTTATGCAATTTAATAAGACTATCTGGTACTTGCTAGAATTTGAAAAAAAATATAGATTGTTAAAAATTTGAAAAAAAATCGTACATCTTGTAATTTGTCTTCGATTCCAGTTGCGCCGAGTAAAATCAGATTTTGTTCAATTTTATTTGCTATTTCAGCAACTAAATCATTTCGATTATTAATAGCTGTTGATGCTTGACGATATTCAACTAACCATTCCTATTAATGAATCGAAAAAAAGTTAATATTGTATTTTATTTATCATATTTACATCATATTCTTGTTTAGTTAAAATTCGATAACCAAGACATAATGTTCGAAGACCTTCCGTAGCGAAACTTTCTAAATGTTCGGATGTTAATTGTGCTCTTTCATCATTCGTTGCAAGACGTTCCATAATAACATTATCCTGAGAAGAATTATAATTTACGAAACTTATTCGAATATTTAAATTTAACTTACAGCTCCTTTACAATATAATTTTATTTCATTACGTGGTGTGCGAACAATTACGCTCATTCGTTTACGATCACTGCTAAATTCCAAAACATTTAAAATATCGTATCGCTCTTCTTCTCCCCGCTAAAAGTATCAAAGATAAAATAACAGACAAAAGACAGTTTTTTGTCTATTTACAAAATTAATAGTCACACTATCTGGTGTTCGACTGAAAAAAACTACACCGATTTGTTTCATTGCAGTAACTAATGCAAATTCATCTATAATAATAATAATAATTATAAAGTATAAGATCTAGTTTTGAAAGTTTATTTACCTGGTGATGATGCTTGATAAACTACTTCGGTGGGTAATTCAGTATGTACTTTATTTTCTGGTACAACTGTATGACATGTTGCAAGTAAAGTTACAAATTCACGAATTTCATCACGTGTTGTCTAAAAGAGGATTTCCTTATTTTCAATTTGAGTTAATTATAGATTATGAAAGAAAAACTTACATGTTGTTCGAGATTTTTTAATAATTCATAACTATTAAATTCGGCTACATTGCCTGATCTATAAAATTATGGAAAAAAAACGATTTTTAAAATAATTTCTTACATGTTAACGTACCCATACATAATACCAGCAATAGAACATTGTTTAAAAATCATTTCATTTTTAGTTAATGTTCCGGTTTTATCCGAAAAAATATATTTAACTTGACCAAGTTCTTCATTTAAATTCGATGTTCTTGCACTTGCTGGTGTATCTGTTTCTGGATCATACATATCTCGATCCTATATATATAAGACAATTCAGATTTAGACTATTATTCTATCAGTAGTTTACCCAGTTAATAAAATAAGCTTGAATAAATTTGACAAAATCAACTGTTATTTGTAATGAAATTGGAATTAAATTATTGAATAAAATAAAGAATGTTAAAAATGTAAAACCAATATGTCTCCAAGCTAATTATTTAAAATCAAAAATAGAATATAAAAAAATGTCGATTTTGATAATCAATTACTTTCTCGATCTTCACCAATATTTAAACCAATATACCAATGTGCATCTTTATTTTTATAATTCCAAAATTCTCCAGCAATAGTACTGAATAAACATAAGATAATCAATATGAGTAATAGAAATAAAATCTAAAAATAAATACACTTTTAAAAATAATATTTAATATATAAATAATCACTTGTTTATTAGTCACTTGTTCGACATTCGTTCGTTTAAGAGGAACTGACGATGAATTCTAAAATCAATAAATTCTTTCGTTGACTATTTTTTTGTATGTATATTTAAACTAACCATCATTAATTTTGTATCATGTCCATTGTAAATAACGATACCATAGATCCACACTGTATTTTTTAATTGTGAACCACGTAAAAGTATTTGATCAGCACATAATGGAATAGGAAAAGCAACACTATTTATCTTTAATGTTCCAGCAAATTCATATAGATTACGATTGGGTAATTCACACTCAATAGTTCCTTGCAGCTCTTTTAATTGAACACTGGATAATACATGAGCAGTTTGTGGTAAACCCTATATTGAATTAAAATACATTTCATATTCAAATACAAATGAAGCCAAACAAACCTGTCGAACTTTCAAATTTGTTTCTCCATCCAAATTTGATGTTTGTATATAACATATACCATTTGGTTCACTAAAAATATAATAACAATCGATTTATCAAGTTTATTAATGCCATTAATTTATAGTAGGATAATTGATATAGAATATTAATCTGACCGACAGTGCATAAAGTCCTCGCATAATAAATTATCAAAGTTATGTGAGTGCGTTATATCGGATAAAGGAATGAAGGTTTTTTCTACTATATATAATTTTATAATACAAACCCAGAGGAAATTAAAACGAGATCAGCAGGAAAATAGTCTCTATCGACTAGTTTCACAATATCACCAACTTTAACTTCAGACCAAATTGTATATATCCAAGCACCATCTCGATAAACTAAATCAATAAAATCGAATTAAAAGCAAATAAAAAACTTTCATGTACCTAAAACTCGTCGACGATTCACTTCATCATCTTGAAAATGACGTTTCTAGATTGAAACAAAAAATATTTTTATCGAATTATAAATCAAATTCATTTAACTAACCACATCCTCGATAATTTCTTTAATTGCAGCACAACATAGAATGAATGTTAGGGGAACTGCTGTTGTGTATCTTCCAGTTGGTGATACACCAGGAATTTGCTAAAATAAATTTTCAATTTTTGTATTATAAACATAGCGATGTTATTTGTTTTTACTTGAAATATGACGATGCAAAGAAAAAAAATATTCGAGTATTTACGAAATTGTTCAAATAGAAATTTCGGTAAAAAAGTTAAAATCGAATATTTGCTCGTGCTAATACGATTTGATATGAATTTTGTTGCTTGTGGTCCACTATTTACTGTGATAATACGCCTCTCATTATTATCCATAGATGTTTCATTTTGATTTGTTCTAATAGGTGTATGAACTCGATTGAAATATCTTGTAATGGAAGAATTTTGTCCCATTCGAGAAAGTCTTTAGTGATAAGATTAAATCTTGATTTATAAATAAGAAATCATAGAGAAAAAAAAGTAAATATTTAAAAACTAAAATAAAAAATAACAACAATATTAATATTTTTCGTAAAATCTTTTCAAAGACGCAGGTATGTTCTGAATATCGAAAGAAGGAAGGAATGAAAAAAGAACCATTAGATAAAGAACTTTCATAGTATTTGAGATGTCGCATTATGCCAGTGTAATTTTATAATATGATAAATATAACAATTTAATAAATATATAAAATAACAGATTAAAAATCGGAGAAAAAACTATGGTAGAAAAGGTAAAGTCATAACAATACTATTTTTTTGAGTTTAATAAATTCTCGATCATTTTTAATATAAGGTTGTCATCGAACTAGAGATTCAAGTAGTTTAATACAGAATCCTTTGATAAAGATCCGTCATCACGTGAAGTCGTATGTCAAATATATATTAACTTATAGACATAACAAGGCTTTCACGGATAATCAAACTAATAATTCATGACGCTACGAGTCCTTCTTATTATGGATAGATGGAAACGGACACTGTTAGAATGATCAGACATGTGTATACATATAGTGACACATTAGAATATTTCATAAAACGGAAAGAATATGAATATATAAGAAAAGTCCAGTGACAATTTCGCTACATCACACTTAGAATATTCAACATGCATTCGGTGCGCGGATTAGTGCATACTAAAATGTTACCTATCATCATTGGTTATTATGGTCCACTTGCATTTCTACCTATATACGTAATTGCACAATCATACGAAACTTATGTCACAAGAGAAACGTAAAAGCATTTCAACAAAAAACATTTTTTTCTTTATATTTACTATGTAACGAACATATACTTCAACGTAACACAAACCTCAATAACTTTCATCGATGTCTAACATAATTACTCCGAATATTCTTACATTACCGGTAGAACTAGTTTACCGAATTCTTGATTACCTTGACAATTTTAATATTTTATGTACGATAAGAGATGTTTGTACACGCATTAATGCGATTGTCGACAGTTACCATCGGTATCAGGTAAAATTCTTGTTTATCTCAATAGCCTTTAGTTTTTTAAATTTCAAATTATTTGATAGAAGAGAACAAATTTTATGCTTTGCTATGAATCATTTACTCTATACTGCTTAAAATGAGTAAACGTCCTTCTACCATCATTACCTATTAGAATTAACGAAGATCAGTTAGTAGTAAAAAACGATTGCCTAACTATTTAAATATTACACAACTATCTCATTCTCTGAAGTAAAAAAATACAGACGAGCGATTTGTTCATACATACTTTCATGATTACTATATTCTTACTGTTCTACCTAGACACTTACTATCCTGGATCTCAGATACAAAACCATCGGACCACAAGGACTACAACATCTTGTCAATGTTTTACAAAAAAACAAAATAGTATACCTCATAACTTCTCATTCTATTATTCAATCACTATTTCACATAGAGACTCGCCATGCTAAACCTAACAAACAATCAAATCAGCGATCAAGGAGCACAAGATCTTGCCAATGTTCTACAATACGACAAAGTAACATACAGCCAACCTTTTCATCCTATTTCTCATTTATTATTTCATACAGACAATCACAACATTGAATCTTCATTACAATCAAATCGGAATACGAGGAGCCCAACATCTTGCCAATGTTCTTCAACAAAACAAAGTAACCTTCCTCATCAAATCTCTCATCCTATTTCTTACTTGATATTCCACACAGACACTCACCACACTGAACCTCCATTACAATCAAATCGGTTCACAAGGAGCAGAACAACTTGCTAATGCTTTACAGCAAAACAAAGTAACATATTCCACAAAACTTCTCATCTTACGTCTCACTTACTATTTCACACAGACACTCACCATATTGGACCTTAGATCCAATGAAATTGGGCCACAGGGAGCAAAACATCTTGCCAATGCTCTACAACAAAACAAAGTAATCTACATCGAAACTTTTCATATTGTCACTCAATCACTTTTTCACTCAGACACTTCTCACACTGAACTTCTACAATAATCAAATCGGTAGTCAAGGAGCGGAACATCTTGCCAACGCTCTGCTGCAAAACAAAGTAACATACTCTCAAATTTCTCGCTCTATTATTCACTTACAAATTCACACAGGCACTCACCACACTGAACCTTGCAGCTAACCAAATCGGTAATCAAGGAGTACAATATCTTGCTAATGCTCTGCAACAAAATAAAGTAATTTACTTCGATCAATTCTTCATCATATTTCTCACTTGCTCTTTCTTACAGACACTCATCACACTGAATCTCTATAACAATGGTATCGGATCACGAGGAGCTGAATACCTTGCCAATGCTCTGCAGAAAAACGAAGTAATATGCTTCACTAAACCTTTCTTTCTATTTCTCTCTCTCACTATTTCTCGCAGACACTTACCTCACTAATCCTCACATTGAATGATATCGGTCCACAAGGAGCAGCACATTTTGCCAATGCTCTTCAACAAAACAAGGTAATATATTCCCAAACATTTCATCCTATCACTCACTCCCTATTTCTCATAGGTACTTACCTCACTGAACTTAGCATCCTGTCAAATCGGTGATCGAGGAGCACAGTATTTTGCCAACGCTCTTGAACAAAACAAGGTAATATATTCCCAAATTTCTCATCTTACTTCTTATTTACTATTTCATACAGATATTCATCACACTTGACCTTGAAAACAATAATATTAGTGACCAAAGAGAGGGCCGTATTAAGGAACTACTAAAAATGAATCATGGACTGACAGAATCTTTGAATTATAAGAAGGATGAATAATTATAAATAATCATCGAATTGTTTTTGTATCGATACAGCTGTTTTGTTTATTATTTAAATACTACAAATGATTCTTCTGTTATACTAATGAGTTTTTCAGAGAAAATAGATTTCTTGAAGGTGTGGATGAAATATTTGTTTCTTTCATTTACCCATAATCACAAATGAAAAATGTATATTGGTATTGATCTTACTAACAAGAAACAGTGTTTGTTGATGATTCTCGAATGAAAAAGCTTTAAGTAGCTCTCTGTTTCTGATCAAAATTTCAGTTCGTTTGGTTGACATCTGATTTCCATATCATAAATGAAGAGAAAAAAAGCAATGGTAAAACAGTCATCACATCTTTCACCAACAGGATGATATATATATTTCGAGATTACCTATAATAAAAACGATGAGAAAGTATCTTTGTCTTTGTGACTATATAGCATCACTGTGTCAACGCAAATGATTGAATAGATTCTTCTCGCTGTTGACGGTAAGCTGCCAAGTAATCAAGACCATAGCCATCGATGGGCGTTGTTGCATCTTTTCGAAGAATTTGGATGAGAGTATGACTTTGATCCGGATACTGGTATGAAAAGTAAATAGTTTCATTGTCTTCATGATATAATTGATTACTATATTCAGTTTCAATCATCGGACAATGGAATACTTTGGCATATGCCTCAATCACTTGATCATAATTTGGACGTTTTTGATCATAAAATAATCGAATTGAGATGTGAAATAGCTTTTCATTCACAAACAAAAAACAGATATAACTGAATTCATGTACAGATATATATGGTGGAATGAATTTCGTGATTTGATCACCAAACTGACTTAAATGTAACCAAGTATATCTAACAACATCGTGTTTGTATTCAAAAGCTTGTGGCAACGTGTTCCACTGTGTTGTACGAAACTGTCGTGGAAGGTGAGTATTAATATTTTGTGGACTATCTCCAAATTGGAAATTATCGAAATCTGGTTTCCATATTTCCGATACGATTATTGACTCTTCTGCTGTCATGTAATGACTAATTTGATTGTCGCCTAATAAACTGTCTACTTTTCAGGAAGATGTGTGGATATTATCGAGCCTCTGATGTTCTTCTATGATTACGTATTTACTAATGAATATTACTTCTTGGTTGCGTTGTATGTATAAATATAATTGTTCTTTTTACCAACAAGAAAAAAATACGTGAGATATAAGAAAGAAATCAAGGTTTTTTGCTATCGTTATTACATGCATTATTTCTTGAATGAGTAATTCTGTTTCATGAGTGAGACGTCATACTAATATGTGATTGGATCACATAAAGCGTTACAAAAAACAATAATTGACGACATTTTTTCTTAGTTTGATGCAACTCAAAATAATTGGATGGAATTCTCATAAGAAATCAATTTAATTTTTACTGATGAAAGGCGGTTCTGAAGATATGAATAAATTCCGATATAGATGACGCTTGCTTTAAAGATAGATCAATTCATTTTTTATTTCAATGAGAAAAAAAAGGTTTATCTTGAGGGTATGGGTGTGGCAAAGGGAAATAATAACAAACGATTACTTTATGATTTTAAACTACCTATAATAGTGTTGCTAACATCATTAATAACTGTTTGTGTATTCAATACAGGGCAGACTTGAAACCAGTACCGGACCTGCCGATTTTTTATTCATTTTTAGGGGATAATGCACGATTGTTCTACACATGATATACATTACAATAGATAAAAATATTATGTTGGCAATTAAAAATCTAAGTGTGAGAGATGAGAAAAATAGTATATGAAATTATTTCTACATTAATTTACATCACTACACAATCCTAAGAACTGAGTTTCGAAATTTTTGTTTGATACTGTCCACCCAATAAACATCTGTACATTTGGATTTCATGCGATAGTCTTACATTTGACTAATGAACAAAACGACTTCATATTTCAACACTTATCTTTATATTTATTGAATAATTGACATTCTTTTATGTGTTAATCGTTGTTAATCAATATTAGCTTTTCCTCGGTAATGTACTGAGAATTTGCTGATTGCAAGCAATGCATGTGGCCTGAGTTGCATCAGGTTTATATTCTTTCAAAACTAATTCATATTCACTGATCTTTAACCATTTTTTGTTAAATATTCCTTTTTCAACTTCTTTTTTTTTTGATTTATCACTGGATGATATTTGTGACTTGATTGTTACTGATGCTTCCCTATCTTCATCTTGATCAATATGGCTATCACTAGCATCAGTCATTTTTTCTGTTAAGTACAAATATTATAGCTTATTATATTCCTAAGTAACAACGAACAATACACAGAAAATTGTATACAATGAACTGAAAGATTTGAATGATTGATAAAAAATATTTCAGAAAGAAAGATATCGGCAACGAACGACCTCAGCAAGTAGCGTATATATTGACCGTTTCTATGAACTATTAGAAATCTGAGATCGCTCTCTTATTATTAATTCCCATTATACAGCAAAGACAACAACAAAATACATCACTAAGAATTCATCGGATATGTATAAAATAATGATGTATTAGAACTGAAATTGAATTAAAAATGAAAAACAGATATATTTTAAAACGCAGAAAAAAATTGGAAAAAGCAAAAAAATTTTCAATGACCAGGACTTTTCTGATAAAAGCAGAAAAGATGTGACCTTGTTCGCAAAGTTTTGTTGAAATTCTTAATATAGACTAAAGATAAATGTTAGTCCGTATTGTATAATGTTTTATAAGAGTAATATACTTAGTGGAGTGGTAAAATATTAATGAATAAATAAAGGTTAGCTATCGACAAGCCTTAACCATGCAAGAGAACGCTGACGGAGAACGCACCAGAGTCTGCAACAATAATATCAGGTTTGTTATCACTATTAACATCGACAACTGTTACTGAAACTGGTTCGCTACCAACTGAGTAAGTACATTGGGCATTAAAGGTGCCACTGCCTATGTTGAGAAGAACACTGACGGTACCCGAATCATAGTTTGCAGTGATAATATCGGGTTTGTTATCACTATTAACATCGACGACTGCTACTGAATGTGGGTGAGTACCAGCCGAGTAAGTAGTTTGTGCACTAAAAGTACCATTGCCTGCGTTGAGAAGAACACTGGTGGTGTTCGAACCAGTGTTTGCAGTGATGATATCGGGTATACTGTCACTATTAACATCGACGACTACTACTGAATATGGGTAAGAATCAATTGAGTATATAGTTTGATTACTAAAGGTACCACTGCCTATGTTGAGAAGAACACTGACGGTGGTCGAGGCACTGTTTGCAATAACAATATCGGGTTTATTGTCGCTATTCACGTCGACGACTGCTACTGACCGTGGGCTGGAACCAACTGTGTAAGCAGCTTGATTACTAAAGGTACCATTGCCTATGTTGAGAAGAACACTGATGGTGTTCGTACCAAAGTTTAGAGCGATAATATCGGGTATACTGTCACTATTAACATCGACAACTGCTACCGACATTGGGTTAGTACCAGTCGAGTAAGTAGTTTGATTACGAAAAGTACCATTGCCTGCGTTGAGAAGAACACCGACTTTGTTCGAACTATAGATTGGAACAACAATATCGGGTTGGTTATCACTATTCACATCGACGACTGCTACTGAAAATAGATAACCACTAACAGAATATGTAGACTGATTATTAAAGATGCCATTGCCTGTGTTGAGAAGAACACTGACGGAGTTCGAAACATAGTTTGCAGTGATAATATCGGGTAAATTGTCGCTATTCACATCGACGAGTACTACTGACTGCGGATTACCACCAACTAAGTATGTAGTTTGAGTAATGAAGGTGCCGTTGCCTGCGTTGAGAAGAACACTGACGGAGCCCGAACCAGAGTTTACAGCAACAATATCGGATTTGTTATCACTATTCACATCGGCGACTGCCACTGATGCTGGAAAATTACCAACTGAGTCAACAGCTTGACTATGAAACATACTATTGCATGCTATTAAATACAAAACATTTGCTTTTACATCTGTACTGGTATATAAACAATATTCAATCGTCGTATTTTATTCAATCTTTGACAGTTTAACTTAATTGAACATAATTTATTCGAAAAGATTATGTTACTACATTTTTAGACAATTTCAGATATTCTATAGTACAACTAAAGTCAGTTCTCAGTTATCATGTACATCTCTATGCGAAACCTTCTCATAAATTTGAAAAATCAACGAAGTCACCTCATTTTACTTAAACCTGGCGCTCTCTTTAATGGATTTTCACCATTCTTTATTTCTTCTTTTATGTGACAATGCCCTTCACAATATTCTTTCAATTCATTTCAAGCTTCATGATACTCTCAACTAAGGAACTGCACGATATCCACCAAGCAAAATTCAAAAATCCGTACATTTATCGAGTATATCTACAAAATTCTAAATTCTACTGTTCAAGTATTTTACAATTATCTGTGCACCCATACCCCATTGTCGTTCTCGTCGAAAACAGTTCAACAAAACTTTACAAATGGATGTACTTCTCCGATTTGATTACTGTTCTCACGTGATTTTATACATGCAGAAAACATGTGCGCTAGTGCTGACTCTGTCTTTTTGAGTTGACGATTTCCAAGAAACGATAACTGAATTTGAGAGATATGTCAGTTAGTAGAGTAAATATCGAAAAACACAAATCACAATTAATAAAACTTTTAGTAGTTAGCCTAGTTTATCAACGCAGTATCTAATAAATTCTGATACAACTGTGATTTTGAAACTGTGCAGCGCTCCACTGATTTATTGAACAACATTCCGCGAGAAAAGGGGAGGGACACTGGTGGAAGAGACTATATGCTGGCCGATGTGGGCTAATGAAAAGAAAAGCAACAATAACAAGGCTTAGTTCTCGTTGACAAAATCCTCATTATGATACTATACTCAAATGCTATTTTACTATTCGCAGTTTTTTTCTAAAAAGGTAATCGTCAGTAATACGTCCTAATCAACGTTAATTTTTTTTAATGTCGTCTCTCAGAGCGAAGGTTTCCACCATCAGCGCGATGACTACAATTTGTTACGTCTAGATATGACACTTCTATAAGTGATAACTGAGCGAATCTCTAAAGAAGTGTTATTTGTTCATCAACATGATAAATTTTAAAAGATAAACTCTCAAACTTTTAAATTTGATTAGTGGAACAAATCATCACTTTGAAAACTGCGAAAAAGTACAACATATTATCTAGCATATTACTGACCGATTGTTGTGGTTGTTGTGGTTGTTGTAGTTGTTGTTGTTGTGGTTGTGGTTGTGGTTGTTGTTGTTGTTGTGTCAGTGGTTGTTGTCGTGGCAGTCGTTGTTGTTGTGGCAGTGGTTGTTGTTGT